GTATCGTTTTTCTTTTTTTTAACCCGGGGCTGGGGGGGAGAGCGTCATTGCAACCCTAACCCTCACAATCAAACATTAAGTTGAAGCAGGTTCTTCTTTGGTGACAAAGGAAGACCTTATATTAAGGGCACATATTAAGTATAACGAAAACATTTTGAGAATCACGGTAGAAACGGTCCCGTGTTTAGGTCCTGTGGTGAACGAGCGAGAGACTTAACAGCATCCTGTCCCTGTGTGTAAATCAGTCAGCCAGCCAGCCAGCTCCATTGACTGCCTGCAGACACGTCTACAGAGCCGTCATATGGCTGATCCAGCTATACTGGTGTATGACACGCCTACAGAGCAGACATATGGCTGATCCATCCATGGCGGTGTATGACACGCATACAGAGCCGTCATATGGCTGATCCATCCATGGCGGTGTATGACACGCCTACAGAGCAGACATATGGCTGATCCATCCATGGTGGTGTATGACACGCCTACAGAGCAGACATATGGCTGATCCATCCATGGTGGTGTATGACACGCCTACAGAGCAGACATATGGCTGATCCATCCATGGCGGTGTATGACACGCCTACAGAGCAGACATATGGCTGATCCATCCATGGCGGTGTATGACACGCCTACAGAGCAGACATATGGCTGATCCATCCATGCCGGTGTATGACACGTCTACAGAGCCGTCATATGGCTGATCCATCCATGGCGGTGTATGGGAAAAGGGCTGCAGATAATGTTGCTCTGGAACAAAGTTCTTTCAATAACCACAACAGCAACAGGACAGGACGGGGGAGGTCTCCCCTCTCATCTTTCATCTCTTCTCTGGGAGCAGTGGTGCTTGTAAGACTAGGACGGGCGGAGGCTGCAGCGGTGCTTGTAAGACTAGGACGGGGGGAGGCTGCAGCTAAGAGGCAGTCATGCTGAAAGAGATTATAGGAGGAACACGTCATGGCTATTTCTGTAAATGAAAATGAGTAGCCTAACCCTCCCACGCTACAAATGCTCCCAAGCAAACATTTACTTGACAACACTTTGGATAAAATTGTCGTGTTTGGATGAGTTGAATCGGGGTGCTTTTCGCCTGCAATTTCTCCTTGCTCAGCACCAAGTGACATGGACTGGGTGGGTATACAGTGGGTTTTGCTGTACATCTCATTGGCAAGTCTTGGTCCTCTTCTTACAACCTTTAGAACTTTGGAACCATCCACCCAGAAACTTTAGGTTGTACCTTCTGACGGTGAAGGACCTCACAGCAAGATGATATGGGAAGGGGATTTAGTATACAATACAAACATGACCGCACACAGCCCCAATATGAAACGGCAGAGATTAAGCTGCTCTCTTTCTTTAAGAAGAACAGCAGCCTTCCACCAAACAGGATGCTTCCATTAATCTCAATTAGATGTTGTTGCATCATTAATCCATCTGGTTATCCCTCACATCTAGAGCCAACATCTGCCCTTATTGGGAGCAAGATAATGATCCTGATCCTGTGGGGAGTCGTGAATTAAATGTGCAAGTGCATGCATGTTGAGACTTATGCAGAGCTACACAAGCTCGCTTTCCCATAAATCCCTAGACTTATTCAAGTCCGTAGGAACAAACGGGGATAACTTTTATTGAACAAATTCAGCGCTGTTTAATTTCATTTAACTTTTCTGCTGAGTCACATTCAGATGATAGGCCGGTTGGTTTATGGGCTAGATGTCCCCTGGCCTGATCCAATCAGAGGCTGTAGTGGTGACCTGACAGCCAATCAGATGCTGTAGTGGTGACCAGAGAGCTGGTGTAGTGTTAGTGCTGGGGCGTGGCTCCTGCCAGGGCCTTTATTTGGCTCGCTGGATGAAAAGCCGAAATTAGTGTGACATTTACATTTACGTCATTTAGCAGACACTCTTATCCAGAGCGACTTACAGGAGCAATTAGGGTTAAGTGCCTTGCTCAAGGGCACATCGACAGATTTTTCACCTAGTTGGCTCGGGGATTAGAACCAGCGACCTTTCGGTTACTGGCACAACGCTCTTAACCACTAAGCTACCTGCCGCCCCAGACATGGCACTTAAAGCATACAAAATGTTAACATACTATAAAACTTTATATTTTCGCATAACCAAAAAGCCTAGGTAGGAGGTACAAAAAAAAAAGTGCCACTTATCTTTTCCCCACTAGCACCAACTTCGCTGATAAATACTTTGAGGTTAAATGTACTACGATTGCAATATGCTGTCTCACCTAGCGATCTTAGGATGAATGCACTAATTGTAAGTCGCTCTGGATAAGAGCATCTGCTAAATGACTAAAATGTAAAATGAGGTAAGTTAGTGCTTAGACTGGCAGTCCCACTAAATAATTAATGAGTTTCCGCACGGTTGGCCTTTTCCACCCTTTACCTCTGCCAGTAGACCCTGCATGCTCTTTGTCGGACTAGCCCAGGGGTGGGCAACACATGGCCTTGCAGGCCAGATCCCATTCAATCTGGCCCGCGGGAGGGTTTTTGGGGGGGTGGGGGGAGTTATTATTTTGGCTTAAAAAAAACACCAGGCCACTCTTGAACGTCTAAAACTAGTATCGAAAGTACGTAGAAATTATAATGGACCTACACGTTTTCAAATTGCTTTTGACAAACAAAATCTGTGCAGCCCTTCTCTGAATTTGGAAATCCCGATGTGGCCCTTGTGCCAAAATTATTGCCCACCCTTGGACTAGCCTATACTATACTCACACCAACCGGTCTACTTTGTATGGCAAAGGCACTAGGCAGCGCCTTCAGAGAGCTGTGACCCGTGCAAAAGAACAAGACTTAGACAGACGTTCCTTCACATTCCAACCCAGATGGAAGAATTGGAGAACAAACTGGATCTACAGCTCAGCCATTCTTGAAGGACAATGGCAGTCCAATAGGAAGTGGTTCTGTACTTGAAGGACAATGGAAGTCCAATAGGAAGTGGTTCTGTACTTGAAGGACAATGGAAGTCCAATAAGAAGTGGTTCTGTATTATAAAAAAAATGACGTGCTTGACCTTTGAAGCCTAATCTTAAAACACCTAATAATGAAACACAAAGAGCAACCTACTCTTCGTTGGCAATTGATGTTGGTGGCTTGTGCACTAGTCTGCTCCATAGTTGGCTGGTGTGAGTCTGACAAGGACATATCCTATCTCCATTTCTGGAAGAATGACCTTCGGTAGAGCTTTACTGCTTTCCCTACAATAAAAAAGCACTGTTTTCACCATGGTTTAATAGGACATTTTTAGAGCAGCTATTAAAAGATCCCTTCATTTCTATTGTGTCTCGGTGTGTGGGTTTCCACCCACTTCCTCAGATACTCAGGGAGGGGAAAAAATGAGTGTTTCCCTTAATCCAACCTTCTATAATGGTTATTACGTCTTCACAAGATTCCTGACAGTGGCTGGTGTAAGAGGGGGTTGAGGAAAATGGAGTCACAGACGGCTGAAAATGTGTCATGAATACTATTTGATGAGAAATGGAGACACTTTTTCAACCTCCTGGATGTCTGGGTGGGGATGTTATTAGGGGGATTTGTGAGCCTGTAAGTGAAACCTGCATGAACTTTTGGGGATAACATTTCTGCCATGGGCTGTACAGCATAAACTAGTAACTGTTCCACCCCAAAAAGCAACAGCAGCGAGCATCTTTTGAATATTTAGGCAAGATTTGAACAAACTCAAATTCCTCCTCTTCTGAAGCTGATTCAAACAGTGTGAAACATATAGGCATCAACATCTGGAAAAGCACCAATGACTTTGGGGAAATTATTGTTTTGGCTGATGTCCAAATCGTTTAGGCCTATTTGCTTAAAAACATATGCATTTTTAAAAACATGTTATCTGGATGCAGAACTTGCTAGTTGGAGACCTTTAGACAAAACAGGCAATTCATACACTTGTTGTATTAACAGGTCTCAGGACCCCCTTTTTTAAAATGGGTGTAAAATATGAAGGCGTCACACAGAAAAGGCCTCCATGATAGCAACCAGAACTGAGAGCTCAACTTAGTCCTCAGCATCGCACACTTTCTCTCTAAAACGTTGAGGTAGTGCTTAGCAATGACCCGTAGCTAGCACAGTTGGCATTTAAACGTGCAGCCTGTGCGTATGTCACACCCATAACCTGTAGAGATAAGGGTCACATCTCTGCTAGGTGTTGGTAGTGACGAATGACAGCACTTCCTGAATAGGGGGGGGGGGGGGGATGCAACCGCCAAGATCAAACTCCACCGGCTGCTCACAGAGACAAAGGAGAGGGCTTGTCGTAGCCATGCATCATTTCTCCACAGTCACTTATCTTCCTCCCCAGAAAACAGACACACGGACAATCAGGCCAGCAGTTCCCAGGCACATTAGGCCAGTCTTATCAGCATTGGGTAAAGGAAGTGGCTTTCTGCTGCACCTGGTGGTGGGGGGCTTCAAGTTGTATGGGCGAGAAATAGGGGGATAGCCTTTCCTTCCTGTTCTGGATTCTCCCTCCCTGGCAAACCCACATTCTAGTGTCCAAACCAACATATGAGGTATAGTGCCCGTCTTGTGAATAATGTCTGTTGTGCTTCATGTGTCCTACAAGCCCAAACTCCCATTGCAGGCGTGTGACCACAGCTTGTGCACCTTTCCACTACGTTATGATCATAGTAGTCTCGGTTGATGACGCCAACCACGACGGATTATAATCCTTTATATCAACGTCTATGTCATTTGAGATCTTTTCAAATGTATTTGCAACATGCGCCGAATACAACAGGTGTAGACATTAGTGAAATGCTTACTTACAAGCCCTTAACCAACAATGCAGTTTAAGAAAAAAAAATAACAAATAATTAAAAAGCAGCAATAAAATAACAGTAGGGAGATAATATACAGGGGGTACCGTACAGTACTTTTTTGTTTGTTAATCAACCAAAAACAGTTGAGTGATTGTCATGCAGCAACACAACACCACCAGGGAACAGGAATTAAGATAATCCAGAGCGTGACCTTACCTGTACTTCCTAATGTTTTGTAGAACCGGTACTCCAAATGTAACTGTGGTGCCCTCGACTTGACTGGTTCCTGTGCGACAGGGTACAACAAAGCACTTCAATTAACAATGGGAAAAGAACACACCCTTTTACTGACTGGCAGTTTTTCCCGCAGCATTTGGGTTCAAATTGCTGACTTAAATTGGAATGAGACCGTTTTGCGAACTTCATATTTTTGGTAGTACAGCAATTTATAGCCACCTGGAGAGCTATTATAATGGCATGAGTAATTTCCTGTGCCACGGCTTTTGGAGGCACACCTAAATTGGAATGAGTTTTGCTAACTTCATTTCCACCAGCTACTATTTATCTGCTTGTCCAGAACAGTCCTGCCAAGGTACCATCGTGCCACACATATCCCAGCCTAGCTTGTGATGTATGAAGAGCATTTGGCCTACTAACTTCAATACATGCTAACAGGTATCCTTTACAGGGGTCGCGTTAGAGTTCAGAAATCAGCATTTTCAAAAAATCTGTTTTAAATAATTTCACCTGCGTTTTATATTGAAAGTCAAGTGTTTTTTTGCTTCAATAAAAGTTGTCCGGGGAGTGCAACTATAGTTTTCCTTCACCAAAAACACATTAGTGCAACATATTCGGCAGAAAATAGCATCATTTTCATCAGATGACAACAGAAGTGCAATGCTTTTTGGCTGGCAGCCACACAAGTAAATGAGCTTACAATGAAATACCACGTTTTTTGTTGTTGCAAAAAACTATGCATGGTCATCATATTTCTAATGTTTATCATAGAAAGAATGCAGCCAGCTACATTTCCTAAATGTTTTACTTGATGTTAATCTTGCATTTTACCAGAGAAAAGTAGCTAAACATCAGTCAGAGAGCTGTCTGCTGATAGAACGCCCGTTCGTGTGAATTCTCACCCTGAGAGGAGACTTGCAACTGAAGCACAAAATTAGTCTGATGACAGCAGAAATTACAATAAGGTTTACAAAAATACAGTAAGATATTTATGTGTTTTATCATTTTTTTCCCTGGGTGAAAAACAGAGAATTCTGCGTTACATGCTGACCACACCGCTCGCGTTACGTACGAGAGCATTGCAAAAATAAAATGTACACATACATGTTATTTAAATCATTGCGCACGCCAACGAGCATCTGCGTAGACAGGCGCTAAAATAGAACTTGGTTCGATTTGTGATGTTTGACGTGCTGCAAGTCCCGACTCTCCCATCTACTCATTGGTTTTTAGGAGCATATACCCATGTGGGTGATTGAATGATTAAATTAGGTCCACACTCCAGTCCAGTTGGTGGTGTTAATGCACCTTAAAGTTGGTTGCCAACCGCCATATAAAGACCAAAGAAGAAGAAGCAGCCTGACGGAGGAGAGATTACTAGAAACAAACTCGGTTTACCCTTTTATCTGTGGATTAATTGTCAGAGGACCTTGTGCATTTTAGGTAAAATAACAACCCAATGTTTATATCCCAGGACAAATTAGCTAGCAACAGCAAGCTAGCTAGCTAAATTGCCATAAATGTTTAATGCTTTTCGACCTGTCCCCAAATTAATATAGTTGGTTCAGAGTTCGTTTTGACATTTCAACCTGCGTGTCCTGATTGCGTCTGGTGTGGGTGGACAAAATCAACATGCGCGTGATGGCGCACGCCTAGTTTAGTATGATTTTGTACATAAACACAACGTTAGCTCTGACGGGTCAAAGAGACAGTTGTTGTGTTGATTTGGGAGGTTATAACAGCACACTCTGATGCCGCTAAACCTTCTCAGTCCTCCACATTGTACATTATAAAGTCAATCGTGTTGTCTTTCTACCATAGACAATGTGTCAGGGCTTCTATACCTATGGTTTCCACCATGATGAAATAATAATGGATTGAATTTAGCGCCTTTCTACCAACTGAGGTACTCAAAGCGCTTTACATGGTAAGGAGAAAACAACCATTTTGTGCCAGAATGCTCACCACACATCAGCTAGCATTGTGGAGCGGTGATAAATGCCAATTAGGAATGAGAGGGATGATTAGGTGACCATGATGGAAATGGGGCCAGGTTGGGAATTTAGCAAGGACACCGGGATTAACACCCTTACTCTGGGGCAAGTGCCATGGGATTTTTAATGACCACAGAGAGTCGGGACACCTGTTTAATGTCACATCCGAAAGATGGCACCCTATGCAGGGCAATGTCCCCTTCACTGCCCTGGAGCATTGGGATTTGATCATAAGACCAGAGGGCCATCGAACACCACTTCCAGCAGAATCTGGTCTCCCCATCCAGGGACCTACTACGGGCAACCCTGCTTAGCTTCAGAGGCAAGCCAGCAGTGGGATGCAGGGTGGTATGCTGACAATTAGGCCTAGTCACTTCCACCTAAAAAATACAAGTCTAATTTCCCTTTCAGTATTAATCCTCAGAAAGATTAGTTTGTAAAGAAAGACTTCAGTAGGCTACAATTGATATGCATTCACTCTGCCCTGAATCTAAGCATACAGAGCAGTGCTTCCGTCAGTTGCCTCATACGACAGCCCCCAATCTCCTCTAGACGTGTCCTCCAGGGGAATTACAACCAGGGCTCGCCATGTTGACTGTCAACAACTTAATCAGGCATTTTAGTCACTGCTAACTGTAGCCTATATATCAGGCATTTTAGTCACTGCTAACTGTAGCATATATATATATATATATATATATATATATATATATATATATATATGCTACAGTTAGCAGTGACTAAAATGCCTGATATATAGGCTACAGTTAGCAGTGACTAAAATGCCTGATATATAGGCTACAGTTAGCAGTGACTAAAATGCCTGATATATAGGCTACGGTTAGCAGTGACTAAAAGGCCTGATATATATATATATATATATCAGGCATTTTAGTCACTGCTAACTGTAGCCTATATATCAGGCATTTTAGTCACTGCTAACTGTAGCCTATATATATATATATATATATATATATATATATCAGGCCTTTTAGTCACTGCTAACCGTAGCCTATATATCAGGCATTTTAGTCACTGCTAACTGTAGCCTATATATCAGGCCTTTTAGTCACTGCTAACTGTAGCCTATATATATATATATATATATATATCAGGCCTTTTAGTCACTGCTAACCGTAGCCTATATATCAGGCATTTTAGTCACTGCTAACTGTAGCCTATATATCAGGCCTTTTAGTCACTGCTAACCGTAGCCTATATATCAGGCATTTTAGTCACTGCTAACTGTAGCCTATATATCAGGCATTTTAGTCACTGCTAACTGTAGCCTATATATCAGGCCTTTTAGTCACTGCTAACTGCAGTGTTGGTTTAGGATCAAGGGCATGTCGCAAGATATGAAAGCTCTTATGAAAATATGCGATAGGGGAAAAATTAAAATCGCTCATGCAGACAATTAATCATATAAACGCATGTGATGGCTATAACATGTTTATGCTACATGTTGGCATGTTGCAAAGCGTTATGATATGTTTTACACTTAACAAAAATAAAACGCAACTTGCAGCAATTTCTAGGATTTTACAGAGTTACAGTTCATATAAGGAAAACCGGTAAATTGAAATAAATTCATTAGGCCCTAATCTATGGATTTCACATGACAGTCAGTATCTGGTGTGACCAATTGCCTCATGCAGCGTGACACATCTCCTTCGCATAGAGTTGATCAGGCTGTTGATTGTGACCTGAGGAATGTTGTCCCATTCTTCTTCAATGGCTGTGCGAAGTTGCTGGATGTTGGCGGGAACTGGAACACGCTGTCGTACACGGCGATCCAGAGCATCAAAAACATGCTCAATGGGTGACATGTCTGGTGAGTATGCAGGCCATGGAAGAACCTGGACATTTTCAGCTTCCAGGAATTGTGTACAGATCCTTGCGACATGGCGCCGTGCATTACCATGCTGAAACATCGGGTGATTGTGGCAGATGAATGGCACGGCAATGGGCCTCAGGATCTCGTCATGGTATCTCTGTGCATTCAAATTGCCATTGATCAAATAAAATTATGTTTGTTGTCCGTAGCCTGCCCATACCATAACCCCACCATGGGGCACTGTTCACAACGCTGACATCAGCAAACCTGTACAGTCGAAACCGGGATTCATCCGTGAAGAGCACACTTCTCCAGCGTGCCAGTGGCCATCGAAGATGAGCATTTGCCCACCGAAGTCGGTTATGACGCCAAACTACTCTCAGGTCAAGACCCTGGTGAGGACGATGAACACGCAGATGAGCTTCCCTGAGACGGTTTCTGACAGTTTGTGCAGAAGTTATTCGGTTGTGCAAACCCATAGTTTCAACAGCTGTCCGGGAGGCTGGTCTCAGACGATGCCGCAGGTGAAGAAGCCGGATGTGGAGGTCCTGGGCTGGCGTGGTTACACGTGGTCTGCGGTTGTGAGGCCGGTTGGACGTACTGCCAAATTCTCTAAAACGATGTTGGAGGCAGCTTATGGTAGAGTAAATTAACTTTCAATTCTCTGGAAACAACTCTGGTGGACATTCCTGCAGTCAGCATGCCAATTGCACACTCCCTCAAAACATGAGACATCTGTGGCATTGTGTTGTGTGACAAAACTGCACATTTTAGTGGCCTTTTATTGTCCCCAGCACAAGGTGCACCTGTGTAATGATCATGCTGTTTAATCAGCTTCTAGATATGCCACACCTGTCAGGTGGATGGATTATCTTGGCGATAGGAGAAATGATCACTAACAGGGATGTCAACAAATTTGTGCACAAAATGTGAGAGAAATAAGCTTTTTGTGTATATGGGAAATGTCTGGAATCTTTTATTTCAGCTCATGAAACATGGGAACAACAATGATGCATTTATATTTTTGTTCAGTGTAGTTTATTTTTACAGGAACGAGTACTTACCAGTTTAATAGCTACATACTCGTTGGTGTAGAGATTTTTACCTGAAACAAAGCAGAGAGAGGTGGCATTCAGATAAGAGCACTTTGGTTATTATTCAACCTACTGAAGGGCTAGCCTAAATAGAGTGTTTTGGTGTTTAGCCTAGTAGATAGTGAATGACCATCTCCAAAAGCAGTGTCAGAGCAGGACAAAAAAAGCCATGGAAAATAGTGAACTCTGTGTTGCTCAGGGGCACTTCAGCCCAGCCTCAAGAAAAAGGAGTGTGTGTGTTTGTATCCATCCATCCATCCATCCATCCATCTAGACAGAGGTTTTTGTGTGACCCAATAATTGATATATACACTAGATTACTATTGGGGGGCGGTGTGTTGAAGCCACCGTGCTGCCATCTTGGCACTACCCCACCATTGCAAAAAATATTTTGGAAGCTATTTTATGTATTTATTAATGTCTACATTTGTTTTTTTTGCCACATGTATTATATTACAGATACCTTATGCATACTTTTAAATTATATTATGTGAGCTAAAATTTTCCTTAAAGTATAATTTTGAGATAACTAATGTTACAACAAAATAGTTAAATACATTCTCATTTTTTATTTATTTAAATACTGTAGAATTCCATTCATTCCTCTGGAGGACTGCTCCTACTGGGGAGTGCCAATATGGCCGACGGGTGGCTTCAAAGCCTCTCAATGGCCAATACATAGCAGCAGCAATCCAAGTTTTATATACATCATTGGGGTGACCCCAGTATGTTCCATTCAGCAAGCAGGCCCCGCCTTTGGCCATCAGGTGTACTAGCTAATCTACAATTAACAGACATCCATTGATTTTTGGTGCATAGCAGAGCGCCACATGTGATACTACATTCTGTACACAAACACAATGTTAGCGCTGATGGGTCTCAGAGCCAGTCTGTGTGTCGGTCTTGTGTTGATGTGCGAGGTTATAATATAACCAGTTATAACACACTTTGAAGCTGATAAACCTCAGTCCTCCGTGTCATTGGATTGTGAGAATGTCATGAATTTAGCATCTGAAATATGGCTTTTATGTTCCTGGCCATGATAGGACAGGAAAAGCCACTGAAATCATGTGCATTATTCATGTGATTACTATGAAGCAGGCATGAATAAATCAGTATCAATATAGGCCTATCCCCGTGAGCCCAAATAAAAGCACTATTGACAACATAAGCCATGCTGGGCTTGGGAGGCTTGTGTGGCCAATAGTGTTGCACGGTATACTGTTACCACGGTAATATCACGGTACAAAAACATCATGATACTTATAGGCTTGGGCTGATATATGATTAAATCAAATATCGTGATATTTGACATTGACGCTATATCGTGATGTGCAAGAAGATACTCTATTTAAAACTTTACAAATCAAAACTTTGTAGTTTTATCAGTTAGGCCACAGGATGCAAAGCCACTGAATGTTTTCCCTGTGGTATCGCGATACTACTCAGTATCGTGATACTTGGTCTGGTATCGTATTGTTAGTAAAATGTTGGTATCATGGCAACACTAGCGGCCAACACATGATATGAAATGTTCAACACAAAAAAGATCAGTTCAACTGAGCAGTTTATGTTTCCCATGTAAGCCGAGTGTCCTTGGGTGGTTCAACATGAAATACAGGCCTACCATTATAAAGATCACGTTAAACTCTCTTACCGAGCTTCAGTTCTCCGAAGTTGCCGCAGCCGATCTTCTTGCCCACGCGGAAGTTGGGTCCCACCATGAGCACCCCGGAGGAGGCTGAGGAGCTGGAGGGTCTGGAGTGCCCGCTGCGCCCCTGTGCCACCTTGCTGCTCCTCGCCGGCCGCTCACCCTCTTTTGGATGGTCCATGGCACTGCGGGCGCCGCCGGGCGGCTGCTGCTGCTTCGAGGGATCCAGTTAGAGGCCTCGGGCCGTGCCCACCACAGCCCCGTCACTGGCACCGGCTGAGGCCTGGCACGACAACGCTCATGGGCCGAGGGCTGGCACCTAGCCGCTGGCTGCCCCTTCACCGCCCTCTACCAATCACTGTGGTGGCTGGCCAGTGTGCTCGACATCGGGGTGGGACCAGGGAAGAGATAGGAGACCTGGGGAGGAAGCAGGAAGTAAACACATTAGGAGACGTCTCTCAGTACAATGTCATTGAGTGACATGGTGGTTTAAGGAGGTGATCTATGACTTAGCCTTTTGGTGTTACCAGCAGGCCATCAATTCATCTTGACTGACTGTCCTACGAGGCACCTGGCCAATATGAAAATATAGCTACCGAGATCATTTGTCTGGCTGAATGGGACAGACTTCAACAATCAGAGCACGCTGGACTGTTAGCTACCATGCTTATTAAAGCTAGAATCCTTAGTTGCTACATCAATTTTTTGACTTAATGATTTATACCCATTGATTCTTGATGACTATAACTTATAAATGTCACATGAGCTTAGATTAAGTGTCATACCCCATCAGAACCCAAAATATACTTTAACTCTTTTAAAAACTTTTTTAAAAGCTGTTTGTAAACAATGTACATGTAAACAAACACTGTATAGACTCAATTAAAACTATAATTTTGAAATCATGGATGACCAGTTCTTCCATCAATAGCTCTGCCTATGAATTTGAGTGTTTACATTTCTCTAAGCTTTTTACCGAAACAGAGGCTGGGTGTTAGCTTTGTTATTGTTTCAACTAAGGATTTTAGCTTTAAGGAGACACAAATACGTTGGGTACGGCAAAGTCAAACATGAACTACAGTCAACTTATTATCATTGTCTACTATTAGAAAGGTGAACGGAATAGTACATTGTTGTATGTCTCGCTCTACCATCGAAGACTTGCTAGAGAGATACTAATCAACATGAAATGTAGTCAGAGGTTTGACCCTGGAGACAAAATGAAAGTCGTGATTTTAATCATCTTAGAAGATTACACCCACTGGCTGTATTCAAGGATGTGGGTAGTGAGATTATTATGTAAACCATTACATAAAGTTGTCTCTCAGCAGGGAAACAGAATAACAACTTTACACACAGCCTGGACTTCAACACAATGTCTTGCCCATGAGAGAGTCTGTGTTAGCAGGCCTAATCATTGTCAACACGATCACACTGTCTTGAGACAGCCTGATTGTCAGTAATGCTTTCTTGCTCATTAATTACAATAGCACAGCAGAGGCGTGTAGAGTCTAACTTCATAAAATGATCAGTCAAGAGACAACACAGGGAAAACAGATTAAGTCGAGGCCTACATTCAATGGACCTACAAAGCTAGCTCCCTTTTCCAAGAGCCATCATGAACCAAATTATGTTTGCAGATCAACCTAATTATGTTTGCACATTCATAACCGCTCAATGTATTTTTTTTGTATATCAACACAATGAATCCTGAAAAGCATAGATGATTTGCCGAGACATGGCGGCATGGGTGAAGCTGGAGTAGTGTGTGTGTGTGTGTGTGTGTGGGCCCCGGTGCGGTGACTCATGTTCAGTTTCTCAGATTCCATCTCAGCATCAAAGACAGCCAGTCTCTCCCAAGGGCAGCTCCACAGCCTTCCCGTTACATAAACCCCCAAAACAGGGAGAGCACAGGACAGCAAAGACAGCAGTGGTGGTGGTGAGGTGACTGACAACTCACCCAGTCCCAGCCTGGATAATCATTGCCATCTATCAGGCTGCACAACAGTCATGCTGGATCTTGTGTGCATGCATGGTTGTACTAGACCTAAATGACTAGTGTTATTGCTTTAGATATAATATAATATAATAATAAGCCATTTAGCAGACGCTTTTATCCAAAGCGACTTACAGTCATGTGTGCATACATTTTTACGTATGGGTGGTCCCGGGGATCGAACCCACTACCCTGGCGTTACAAGCGCCGTGCTCTACCAATTGAGCTACAGAGGACCACTCATCTAATGACTTTGCCATTAGATGAGTGTGCCACTTTTTTTCCAGTCCAATAATCAAATTGGAAATTGACCTTCATATGTGTTTAGGGGGTCGATATTTACTACTTGCTGCTAACCTAGTTGTGGGTTAACAGTAACTTGTATTAATACTGTCATTAACAACAGTTTTGTTGATTCCCCCCCCCCCCCCCCCCCCCAGATAACAGTGTAGGTTACTTTACTTTAAGTCTGTATGACTTTTGCCATAAGTTAAGCCATCTGTGCATTACAACCTTTAACTTCAACACAGGATTTCCCACAGCCCGATGTCTGACAAACACTTCTGATGGTGCCATGCACAAATATGATGCAAAAAAAAAAAAAAAACATAACATTGATGGCTTTCCTGCTAAGTTACGTTTTTTTGGCATTATATGTGTGCATGACACCATCAGAAGTGTTTTTCAGACACCAGGCGGTGGGAAATCCTGTAATAGGAGTATATACTATATTCTTACTCATAGCCATCAGGCTTTGAATGTGATGATTTATGATTACGTCCATGCTACGAATGTTGTTATTGCTTGTTTCCCCAGAAAAGGATAGACAACGGCATCTTAGCTTTAAAAAAATTAAAAATAAAATTGGACCATCTTTTAATGCTCCTACGGTGCAGTTGTCTTAGTATGTGTAGGCTATGTTATTGATACTTGTTGTCTGTGGTGATAAAACATTTTCCCATGTTGGGATCAATAAAGTACTACTCTAGTCTCTACACTTGAGGTAGCTGAGACAATAGGCTGCATTATCAAACTGTTGGGTGTTTAATGATCAAGACTGGTGAAAAATATCTACAATAACACTGTGGCAACTGTGTGGACAGGGTTAGCTACTGACTGGCCTCTAGGATGAGTTTGTCACAGGTGTCAAATTCATATGGAGGGCCGAGTATCTGGGCGGTTTTCACTCCTCCCTTGTACTTTATAGATCAATGAAGGTCCCTTATTGGTTAAGAACTCCCCTCACCTTGTTGTCTACTTCTTAATTGGCAGAATTGAAAGGAAATAACAAAACTAGCAGACACAGCCCTCCGTGGAATGAGTTTGACACCCCTGCTCTAAATAGAGTCATTAACCTTTAGTGGAAAGATCAGCCTGATGGGGGGGGGGTCAGGCAATACGGAGGGATTCACACTGTGGCAGTGCCAGCTAACAGCTGCTTCTCCCACTGTCTGCTCTCATGCACTGTAGCTTGAAGCAATTTATCAGCCCTATTGACTTCCTTTCAAAGTTCCCCACAACAACAACATTGGCCAATTCAACTTTTCCAAGCAGGCTTTCAAAGAAAACTTGCCGGGACACGGGCTGATCCCAGTATTGCGATACTAGGAAGTAAGGAAGGCACCGCAGCGTTCTAAGGCACCGCATCGCAGTGCTTGAGGCGTCACTACACATCCGGGTTCGATCCCGGGCTTGTCGCAGCCTGACGCGACCCGGAGACGGCATACAATTGGCCCAGCATCGTCCGGGTTAGGGGAGGGTTTGCCCGGCCGGGATGTCCTTGTCCCATTGCACTCTAGCGACTCCTGTGGAGGGCCGGGAGCATGCACGCTGACACGGTCGCCAGTTGTACAGTGTTTCCTCCGATACATTGGTGGGGCTGGCTTCCGGGTTAAGCGAGGAGTGCGTCAAGAAGCAGTGTCGCTTGGCAGGGTCGTGTTTCGGAGGACGCATGGCTCTAGACCTTTGCCTCTCCCGAGTCCGTATGGGAGTTGCAACGATGGGACAAGACAGTGACTACCAATTGGATATCACGAAATTGGGGAGAAAAATTAATAAATAATAATAAAAGGCAACAAAACATGAAGCAGACTTACTTTCTTGAGGAAAACAGTCGTAATGTTTGAAAAAACGGTCTTATGTTGTCACTCAGACAGTTGTTTATTTTGCAAACTATAAACACAATATTGTACATAATGTAGGTTTTTAAAGAACCATAGAGTTTAGTCTGTTTTATTTTGTACCAAGAAGAGGGAGTTCTGTCATAAATAAAAGGATAGAAGAAAGTGGGTTGAGAACAACCCTGGCAACTTGCTGGGCCTGGTGCCTCCTATAGGCCTTGTGGTTAACCTGAGACAGACGCCAATAATCTGCATAACCACTGTCAGTTTGGGCAAGACTAGTTTTCATTACAAAAAAACATCAGAAAATGAGATGACACTTTTTCACATGCTTTTTGAGTTGCACAAACAGACGACTGCATACCATCGATTAGTTCTAACCACCCCCCCCAAAAAAATTGCTGAGATGCCATGGAACAGAAGTTGAAAGGGATAAACAAATTATCATGACCCCGCCCTGATTGACCCTCTGTGCTGGCCTAAGGTGCAAACACTCATGTCCCAAGGTTGTAAAGAATTTCACCTGCTCCATTTTTCCTCAATGGCTCACTCAGTATTTTCTCACTTTGCACGCATATTTGTCCATATATACTGTAAATAAAGTCATTTATATTCTATACGTCAATATATTTTGTCTCAGGTAGCCAGATTAACATCAAATGAGGAATCATTCTACTGTAGGTCTAATCATTTTCTCCAGAAAATAATGGCTATAGTTAGGCCTACACAATTTAAATAACAAGACATACCTAGTTAGCTAGCTAACAGGGAAAATACTGATTTAACGTTAACAGCGAATATGCTTTTCCACGAGCTAAACGATGCCAGCAGCGACGTTTGTTATTATAGCCTTCTTCCGTAGACAAAAGCTACTTCATGACAATGTGGACATATCGATTAGCTTGCTACCTACAGTAGATGTGTAAATTGACGTTAACTAGCTTTCACACACTGATCCAATGATGGTAATGTCCATAACGTTAGCTAACTAACGTTAGATAGTTAGCGTTTGTTTTGTCAAAAGCAAGCACCCATAATGTTAAATTGGGCAATGTTATCCATCCATAACTTTCATCTATCCAGCTAACGTTAGGTAGCTAACTATGCAAAAAAAATGATTTGGATGAAAAAGCAATAACGTTACTTGCTTGGATACGTTAGCTAGCTAGCAGGCCAACTAACAGCGCCATTTATTTAATTGATATTTAGCTATAGCTAGTCTCATTGACATGGAACCACAATTGTTTCAGGGGGAACGTAATTTCGGTTAACCCAAATTAGGTGGAACGAGGAAATGGAAAATAGCTAACTAGCTACAGTAGTTATCGTCATTAGCAACGAGGCTAGCTATCATCATGCAAACAACCACCTACTTACTTTAGCTGTGGTGATAACTGTTGATTCAGACGCCTCTTGCGATTTCACTTAAATGTCCGCAAGGTGTTCGAATGTATTTAATTCTATAAAATATAAATATTGTATAATTATAAGTCAAGAGAGACAGACTAGCAACCCTTTCATTATTTTTCTTCTTCTCGCTATCTCGCTGCTCGTGAAACGTTTTACGTTCTCCGGAAGTACAGGCAACCGCACCATTGAGCTATGAACAGCACACCCGCTTGCGTCAACACTTCCAGGTTGCACAGGGTTCGATACTTATTTTTTTTGACCCAAGTAAAAAAAATATATATTTTTAATAATGGTGAATAATTATTTGAGTATATGACTTCAAATTATGTAACTCAATGGTTTCAACAATGCAACACTCGTACCTACTCCACTCATACAAGATCAGTAATTTAAAATGTATATTATGGGGATGGAATATGATTGAAACCATGCACCAAATAACCTCCATATGATATTCCCTGTCCTACATTCTTGGATACTAATGTAATTTTATGGACAAAAAACCCCAGCCTCAAACATTAAACCAAGTTCAATCAATCATCTTTATTACTCCCATCTATAGCACTTTCAGGAATATCTTATCTAAATGCAAGTGGTTACAAAAATAAAGCACATCTTGAGGAAAAATAACAGACACTCATATAAATGTTGGGTAAGAAAATTAAAGGAGTCAACACTTGTTACCACTATGCTTTCATCATCAATACACACTGCTAGTCAGTGCTGGACTTGTGTATAACCCCAACTGAATACCAGCACCTAATTTTCTACTGCTTGAGTTCCTGCACCTTATATAGAATATTAGTTCAAAGGTACTGCGGAGTTCTTGCACCTAAACAGTACCAGCACCCAAAATGAGTACTGACACCTATTTCAGTCCAATTCACGCACCTATCAATATCACGCATTGTCATCCCTACTGCCTCTGATCAGGCGGACTCATTAAACACAAATACTGTGTTTGTAAATTATGTCTGAGTTTTGGATTGTGCCACCGTCTGTCTGTAAATAAATAAAAAACAAGAAAATCGTGCCGTTTGGTTCGCTTAATATAAGGAATTTTATGTATAGCATTGACTTTTACTTTGTACTTTTACTCAAGTATGAACATTTTGTACTTTTTCCACCACTGTACTTAAGTACATTTAAAATCAGATACTTTTGGACTTTTACTCAAGTAGTATTTTACTGGGTGACTTTTACTTCAGTCATTTTTTATTAAGGTATCTTTACTTTAACTCAAGTATGACAATTGAGTACTTTTTCCAACACTGAACATGACACATTTCATGAGGCTACATGTTCGAACACAGATGTTTTAAAAATAGCATTTCAGAGAACAACATACTGATGGTCAGTTCAGAAAGACTGTTGTTGAACATAATTATTTGAGGTTACAGATGTATATCAACTGATGATCAAACAATGGAGCACACGCGCAAACACGCAGGCAGGCAGGCACACGCACACTCATCTGATGGGTCAACATAAACATACATTCCGTGCTTCCATTATTTTGTGCAGTCACTGTAGGTCTGGAAATGTACAAATTAAGGACCATTAGACGGACTAATACTATCAATTTGAATGAGCTCTCTAGTCAAAGTGGTATTTCACACGACACACACAATTTGCTACATTCCCCTATGCGTTTTTGTGGATCCAAAAGTTATTTCATGAGCTTTAGTAAACAGTGATGAACTGCCCTCTACTGTAAACAAACACTACTAATCTAGGGAAGTACCTCAAAATGTTAACAGTTTAGGATTGGAAAGTCATACTCTTCCTATCTGAGCAAGGGTGGCCCAAGAACACAGAGTAAAAATATCCCACTCACACCACTGACATATTTCGATAGAAAAGCTATACTGTCAAATTCATACCATCGATTAGTTCTAACCACCCCCCCCAAAAAAATTGCTGAGATGCCATGGAACAGAAGTTGAAAGGGATAAACAAATTATCATGACCCCGCCCTGATTGACCCTCTGTGCTGGCCTAAGGTGCAAACACTCATGTCCCAAGGTTGTAAAGAATTTCACCTGCTCCATTTTTCCTCAATGGCTCACTCAGTATTTTCTCACTTTGCACGCATATTTGTCCATATATACTGTAAATAAAGTCATTTATATTCTATACGTCAATATATTTTGTCTCAGGTAGCCAGATTAACATCAAATGAGGAATCATTCTACTGTAGGTCTAATCATTTTCTCCAGAAAATAATGGCTATAGTTAGGCCTACACAATTTAAATAACAAGACATACCTAGTTAGCTAGCTAACAGGGAAAATACTGATTTAACGTTAACAGCGAATATGCTTTTCCACGAGCTAAACGATGCCAGCAGCGACGTTTGTTATTATAGCCTTCTTCCGTAGACAAAAGCTACTTCATGACAATGTGGACATATCGATTAGCTTGCTACCTACAGTAGATGTGTAAATTGACGTTAACTAGCTTTCACACACTGATCCAATGATGGTAATGTCCATAACGTTAGCTAACTAACGTTAGATAGTTAGCGTTTGTTTTGTCAAAAGCAAGCACCCATAATGTTAAATTGGGCAATGTTATCCATCCATAACTTTCATCTATCCAGCTAACGTTAGGTAGCTAACTATGCAAAAAAAATGATTTGGATGAAAAAGCAATAACGTTACTTGCTTGGATACGTTAGCTAGCTAGCAGGCCAACTAACAGCGCCATTTATTTAATTGATATTTAGCTATAGCTAGTCTCATTGACATGGAACCACAATTGTTTCAGGGGGAACGTAATTTCGGTTAACCCAAATTAGGTGGAACGAGGAAATGGAAAATAGCTAACTAGCTACAGTAGTTATCGTCATTAGCAACGAGGCTAGCTATCATCATGCAAACAACCACCTACTTACTTTAGCTGTGGTGATAACTGTTGATTCAGACGCCTCTTGCGATTTCACTTAAATGTCCGCAAGGTGTTCGAATGTATTTAATTCTATAAAATATAAATATTGTATAATTATAAGTCAAGAGAGACAGACTAGCAACCCTTTCATTATTTTTCTTCTTCTCGCTATCTCGCTGCTCGTGAAACGTTTTACGTTCTCCGGAAGTACAGGCAACCGCACCATTGAGCTATGAACAGCACACCCGCTTGCGTCAACACTTCCAGGTTGCACAGGGTTCGATACTTATTTTTTTTGACCCAAGTAAAAAAAATATATATTTTTAATAATGGTGAATAATTATTTGAGTATATGACTTCAAATTATGTAACTCAATGGTTTCAACAATGCAACACTCGTACCTACTCCACTCATACAAGATCAGTAATTTAAAATGTATATTATGGGGATGGAATATGATTGAAACCATGCACCAAATAACCTCCATATGATATTCCCTGTCCTACATTCTTGGATACTAATGTAATTTTATGGACAAAAAACCCCAGCCTCAAACATTAAACCAAGTTCAATCAATCATCTTTATTACTCCCATCTATAGCACTTTCAGGAATATCTTATCTAAATGCAAGTGGTTACAAAAATAAAGCACATCTTGAGGAAAAATAACAGACACTCATATAAATGTTGGGTAAGAAAATTAAAGGAGTCAACACTTGTTACCACTATGCTTTCATCATCAATACACACTGCTAGTCAGTGCTGGACTTGTGTATAACCCCAACTGAATACCAGCACCTAATTTTCTACTGCTTGAGTTCCTGCACCTTATATAGAATATTAGTTCAAAGGTACTGCGGAGTTCTTGCACCTAAACAGTACCAGCACCCAAAATGAGTACTGACACCTATTTCAGTCCAATTCACGCACCTATCAATATCACGCATTGTCATCCCTACTGCCTCTGATCAGGCGGACTCATTAAACACAAATACTGTGTTTGTAAATTATGTCTGAGTTTTGGATTGTGCCACCGTCTGTCTGTAAATAAATAAAAAACAAGAAAATCGTGCCGTTTGGTTCGCTTAATATAAGGAATTTTATGTATAGCATTGACTTTTACTTTGTACTTTTACTCAAGTATGAACATTTTGTACTTTTTCCACCACTGTACTTAAGTACATTTAAAATCAGATACTTTTGGACTTTTACTCAAGTAGTATTTTACTGGGTGACTTTTACTTCAGTCATTTTTTATTAAGGTATCTTTACTTTAACTCAAGTATGACAATTGAGTACTTTTTCCAACACTGAACATGACACATTTCATGAGGCTACATGTTCGAACACAGATGTTTTAAAAATAGCATTTCAGAGAACAACATACTGATGGTCAGTTCAGAAAGACTGTTGTTGAACATAATTATTTGAGGTTACAGATGTATATCAACTGATGATCAAACAATGGAGCACACGCGCAAACACGCAGGCAGGCAGGCACACGCACACTCATCTGATGGGTCAACATAAACATACATTCCGTGCTTCCATTATTTTGTGCAGTCACTGTAGGTCTGGAAATGTACAAATTAAGGACCATTAGACGGACTAATACTATCAATTTGAATGAGCTCTCTAGTCAAAGTGGTATTTCACACGACACACACAATTTGCTACATTCCCCTATGCGTTTTTGTGGATCCAAAAGTTATTTCATGAGCTTTAGTAAACAGTGATGAACTGCCCTCTACTGTAAACAAACACTACTAATCTAGGGAAGTACCTCAAAATGTTAACAGTTTAGGATTGGAAAGTCATACTCTTCCTATCTGAGCAAGGGTGGCCCAAGAACACAGAGTAAAAATATCCCACTCACACCACTGACATATTTCGATAGAAAAGCTATACTGTCAAATTCATACCATCGATTAGTTCTAACCACCCCCCCCAAAAAAATTGCTGAGATGCCATGGAACAGAAGTTGAAAGGGATAAACAAATTATCATGACCCCGCCCTGATTGACCCTCTGTGCTGGCCTAAGGTGCAAACACTCATGTCCCAAGGTTGTAAAGAATTTCACCTGCTCCATTTTTCCTCAATGGCTCACTCAGTATTTTCTCACTTTGCACGCATATTTGTCCATATATACTGTAAATAAAGTCATTTATATTCTATACGTCAATATATTTTGTCTCAGGTAGCCAGATTAACATCAAATGAGGAATCATTCTACTGTAGGTCTAATCATTTTCTCCAGAAAATAATGGCTATAGTTAGGCCTACACAATTTAAATAACAAGACATACCTAGTTAGCTAGCTAACAGGGAAAATACTGATTTAACGTTAACAGCGAATATGCTTTTCCACGAGCTAAACGATGCCAGCAGCGACGTTTGTTATTATAGCCTTCTTCCGTAGACAAAAGCTACTTCATGACAATGTGGACATATCGATTAGCTTGCTACCTACAGTAGATGTGTAAATTGACGTTAACTAGCTTTCACACACTGATCCAATGATGGTAATGTCCATAACGTTAGCTAACTAACGTTAGATAGTTAGCGTTTGTTTTGTCAAAAGCAAGCACCCATAATGTTAAATTGGGCAATGTTATCCATCCATAACTTTCATCTATCCAGCTAACGTTAGGTAGCTAACTATGCAAAAAAAATGATTTGGATGAAAAAGCAATAACGTTACTTGCTTGGATACGTTAGCTAGCTAGCAGGCCAACTAACAGCGCCATTTATTTAATTGATATTTAGCTATAGCTAGTCTCATTGACATGGAACCACAATTGTTTCAGGGGGAACGTAATTTCGGTTAACCCAAATTAGGTGGAACGAGGAAATGGAAAATAGCTAACTAGCTACAGTAGTTATCGTCATTAGCAACGAGGCTAGCTATCATCATGCAAACAACCACCTACTTACTTTAGCTGTGGTGATAACTGTTGATTCAGACGCCTCTTGCGATTTCACTTAAATGTCCGCAAGGTGTTCGAATGTATTTAATTCTATAAAATATAAATATTGTATAATTATAAGTCAAGAGAGACAGACTAGCAACCCTTTCATTATTTTTCTTCTTCTCGCTATCTCGCTGCTCGTGAAACGTTTTACGTTCTCCGGAAGTACAGGCAACCGCACCATTGAGCTATGAACAGCACACCCGCTTGCGTCAACACTTCCAGGTTGCACAGGGTTCGATACTTATTTTTTTTGACCCAAGTAAAAAAAATATATATTTTTAATAATGGTGAATAATTATTTGAGTATATGACTTCAAATTATGTAACTCAATGGTTTCAACAATGCAACACTCGTACCTACTCCACTCATACAAGATCAGTAATTTAAAATGTATATTATGGGGATGGAATATGATTGAAACCATGCACCAAATAACCTCCATATGATATTCCCTGTCCTACATTCTTGGATACTAATGTAATTTTATGGACAAAAAACCCCAGCCTCAAACATTAAACCAAGTTCAATCAATCATCTTTATTACTCCCATCTATAGCACTTTCAGGAATATCTTATCTAAATGCAAGTGGTTACAAAAATAAAGCACATCTTGAGGAAAAATAACAGACACTCATATAAATGTTGGGTAAGAAAATTAAAGGAGTCAACACTTGTTACCACTATGCTTTCATCATCAATACACACTGCTAGTCAGTGCTGGACTTGTGTATAACCCCAACTGAATACCAGCACCTAATTTTCTACTGCTTGAGTTCCTGCACCTTATATAGAATATTAGTTCAAAGGTACTGCGGAGTTCTTGCACCTAAACAGTACCAGCACCCAAAATGAGTACTGACACCTATTTCAGTCCAATTCACGCACCTATCAATATCACGCATTGTCATCCCTACTGCCTCTGATCAGGCGGACTCATTAAACACAAATACTGTGTTTGTAAATTATGTCTGAGTTTTGGATTGTGCCACCGTCTGTCTGTAAATAAATAAAAAACAAGAAAATCGTGCCGTTTGGTTCGCTTAATATAAGGAATTTTATGTATAGCATTGACTTTTACTTTGTACTTTTACTCAAGTATGAACATTTTGTACTTTTTCCACCACTGTACTTAAGTACATTTAAAATCAGATACTTTTGGACTTTTACTCAAGTAGTATTTTACTGGGTGACTTTTACTTCAGTCATTTTTTATTAAGGTATCTTTACTTTAACTCAAGTATGACAATTGAGTACTTTTTCCAACACTGAACATGACACATTTCATGAGGCTACATGTTCGAACACAGATGTTTTAAAAATAGCATTTCAGAGAACAACATACTGATGGTCAGTTCAGAAAGACTGTTGTTGAACATAATTATTTGAGGTTACAGATGTATATCAACTGATGATCAAACAATGGAGCACACGCGCAAACACGCAGGCAGGCACACGCACACTCATCTGATGGGTCAACATAAACATACATTCCGTGCTTCCATTATTTTGTGCAGTCACTGTAGGTCTGGAAATGTACAAATTAAGGACCATTAGACGGACTAATACTATCAATTTGAATGAGCTCTCTAGTCAAAGTGGTATTTCACACGACACACACAATTTGCTACATTCCCCTATGCGTTTTTGTGGATCCAAAAGTTATTTCATGAGCTTTAGTAAACAGTGATGAACTGCCCTCTACTGTAAACAAACACTACTAATCTAGGGAAGTACCTCAAAATGTTAACAGTTTAGGATTGGAAAGTCATACTCTTCCTATCTGAGCAAGGGTGGCCCAAGAACACAGAGTAAAAATATCCCACTCACACCACTGACATATTTCGATAGAAAAGCTATACTGTCAAATTCATCTCTGTTGAATCAATACATTGTGCCGATGTAGAGCATACTGAAGAGCTGGAAAATAAATCACTAATGCTAAAATAATATGGATGAGCTGTAGTGGCATTGTCTTCTGGGTACATAGTCAGGAGGTAAAGTGTTCAAAAAAGGCAGTCGGTCTCTTCCTAACGTCCTCATCATGCTATCGCCTTTGCTTCAGGCAGGAATGCTTCCCAGAACTTTACGAGCTAGATCCAAGAGGAAGAAAAGTGAAAAGAGAGCACATCAATATTTGCAGTATAAAGGCCAACATTTCAAGCAAACAGTTACACGAAAACGCACATATTAAATAAAAAAATAGTAAAGATTACCCGCTGTTGAGACTGTAGAAGAGACTCCAGATATTTCACTATCTGGCTTTTGAAGTCCTTGGACTTCTCTTTCTGTTAGATGAGGGGGAGAAAATAACTGTCACGCAGATTTTCTCACTCAAAACTATCCTGTATCCTGAATACAGCAGCACAATGTTGCTCAAATGAAAAGGACGAGCCTTACCTCAAACCTGAGGAATTCCTTGCGAACGGTTACAGACATCCTGTCAAAATCCCGCTCGTACTGAGTGACTTTACCCTCCCACTGAAAGACAAGAGGGGAATAAGGAGAGTTTTAGGTGGAAATAGAACTCAAAGCAATACCACCTCCCTTTAAGTATGCATTACCACAGTGCTGGCTCCTGTACCTCAGTGATCTCCTCTTTGGCCTGTTGTAGTTTGTCTGGCTTGTTGGCCCACAGTAACTTTGCTTCGGCCTCCCTCTTCTTCTGCAGGGTGCTCTGAGCCTCCTGCCAACGCTGCCACGTTTTCATGCGCTGCTCAAAACAGCCCTGTGGAAAACACAACGAGAATGCCCAAATTAGCCGCACTGCACGAGTTTGGGCCAAAATTAGCACCACATCAATTTCACATCGAGGGCACTCCGATTCTAGCTAGTAGCTACCCAATTTAGCACCAAAGCTAGCACAAATGTTTTATTTTTTTACTAATCTTCCATTGCTATCTATTAGGATTTACTCATCCAATCAATGTAGTCGTAGTTTTCTATTTAGAATTCAGGCCATAGAATGAAGTTTCCGTACCCTGACGGCCCCTAGTATGCGGATGTAGAATGAAGTTTCCGTACCCTGACGGCCCCTAGTATGCGGATGTAGAATGAATTTTCCGTACCCTGACGGACCCTAGTATGCGGATGTAGAATGAATTTTCCGTACCCTGACGGACCCTAGTATGCGGATGTAGAATGAATTTTCCGTACCCTGACGGACCCTAGTATGCGTATGTAGAATTAAGTTTCCGTACCCTGACGGCCCCTAGTATGCGGATGTAGAATGAAGTTTCCGTACCCTGACGGCCCCTAGTATGCGGATGTAGAATGAAGTTTCCGTACCCTGACGGACCCTAGTATGCAGATGTAGAATGAAGTTTCCGTACCCTGACGGCCCCTAGTATGCGGATGTAGAATGAAGTTTCCGTACCCTGACGGCCCCTAGTATGCGGATGTAGAATGAAGTTTCCATACCCTGACGGCCCCTAGTATGCGGATGCAGAATGAATTTTCCGTACCCTGACGGCCCCTAGTATGCGGATGTAGAATGAAGTTTCCATACCCTGACGGCCCCTAGTATGCGGATGTAGAATGAAGTTTCCATACCCTGACGGCCCCTAGTAGGCGGATGCAGAATGAAGTTTCCGTACCCTGACGGCCCCTAGTATGCGGATGTAGAATGAATTTTCCGTACCCTGACGGCCCCTAGTAGGCGGATGCAGAATTAAGTTTCCATACCCTGACGGCCCCTAGTATGCGGATGTAGAATGAAGTTTCCGTACCCTGACGGCCCCTAGTATGCGGATGCAGAATGAAGTTTCCGTACCCTGACGGCCCCTAGTATGCGGATGCAGAATTAAGTTTCCATACTCTGACGGCCCCTAGTATGCGGATGTAGAATGAAGTTTCCGTACCCTGACGGCCCCTAGTATGCGGATGTAGTCGGCCAGCAGCTCGGCCAAGATGAAGAAGTCGCTGGCCGCCTGCTCCTGGTGTAGTGTCTCCATCTTGTCCTCCACCTCGGCCAGTTGGGAGAGGGCCCGGGACAGAGCTGTGTTGTCCTCCGAGGTGCCCAGCATGGCCATGCTCTTGGCGAACACCGCCGTGTTCCCGCAGAGCTCTGACCAAACACAACAGATATACCAGGGTCACAAAGGAAAAAGGGAACGTCTGCTTTAAAGATCCAATCTTATCCAAAGGGTTTGGAAGCAGACATTTCCCTTTTTTCCTGTGAAACTCACCCTTCCTGTGGTTGACCAGGGAGTCCACCACCGCGTGGAGTTTCCTCAGCTGCAGCTCCTCGCTCTCCACCTCCTGCAGTTTGTCGTCAAACCACTGGAACACAAAGCAACGTGGGAGGAACGATCAGGCAACCAATCAACATCAATTAAAACTATTTGAATGACAAAGGGGACTTATCTACCCAAAGCTTTACAGAAGCATACGCATTTCGTTTAGCAGACAGTAAAGAGAAAGCTCACATTTTACAGGAAAAAAAAGGCACAAGCTCAAACATTAATTTAGATAATTTACTTTACTGCTATAATTTCATTTTTGTCATTTGAGTAAATCAACCACAACAGTGATTGTCTTACAGTGTCTGAGTCGTTGATCTTGATGGTCATCTTATTGACAGCATCAGACGCCCTGTTGATCATCTTCAGGAAGCCAGCTCCACTCAGTGCATGTGTACCCACCGCCCTAGGCAGCTGACACACACACGCAGACACACACACGCAGACACACACACGCAGACACACACAGTGAACAAATGAATGCATGATTCCAGTACTTTGTGAGAGAACAGTATTGACAGCTAATGACTGAAGAGTCACCTACCTCGTCTCTTTCCAGGAACTCTCTGACATCAGGGTCTTGTAACAGGGACGGGTGAGACACTACTCTCTGGAGGTACCTAGAAAATCCCGCAAATATAAATGGGCTAGATTACAGGTAGGAAACAATGCAACGCCTGCCATATCAATGAAGATACAGCAATACATCGTTGAGAAATGTATTGTGAATGCATTGCATGTGGACTTTTGCCATATTCTTAACAAAAGCAAAAGAATATAACAAATATCAACAGGCTAATATAAAACACAATCTGAACTTGATACTTCACAGAACTGTACATGCGAAGTCTGAGTACAACAATGGTAAAAGGTGCTGCTTCAGGTCCTACCTCTCCAGAGTACAACAATGGTAAAAGGTGCTGCTTCAGGTCCTACCTCTCCAGAGTACAACAATGGTAAAAGCTGCAGCTTCAGGTCCTACCTCTCCAGAGTACAACAATGGTAAAAGGTGCAGCTTCAGGTCCTACCTCTCCAGAGTACAACAATGGTAAAAGGTGCTGATTCAGGTCCTACCTCTCCAGAGTACAACAATGGTAAAAGGTGCTGCTTCAGGTCCTACCTCTCCAGAGTACAACAATGGTAAAAGCTGCAGCTTCAGGTCCTACCTCTCCAGAGTACAACAATGGTAAAAGCTGCAGCTTTAGGTCCTACCTCTCCAGAGTACAACAATGGTAAAAGGTGCTGCTTCAGGTCCTACCTCTCCAGAGTACAACAATGGTAAAAGGTGCTGCTTCAGGTCCTACCTCTCCAGAGTACAACAATGGTAAAAGGTGCAGCTTCAGGTCCTACCTCTCCAAAGTACAGCAATGGTAAAAGGTGCAGCTTCAGGTCCTACCTCTCCAGAGTACAACAATGGTAAAAGGTGCTGCTTCAGGTCCTACCTCTCCAGAGTACAACAATGGTAAAAGCTGCAGCTTCAGGTCCTACCTCTCCAGAGTACAACAATGGTAAAAGGTGCTGATTCAGGTCCTACCTCTCCAGAGTACAACAATGGTAAAAGGTGCTGCTTCAGGTCCTACCTCTCCAGAGCCGCTCTCCTCCTCTCCACAAAGTCAGCAGAGGAAGAGTCCTCCTTTCCCACCTTCACTTTGGTCATCCCTGTGGAGTGAAGCCATGGTGTTACTAGTGTCTTTCATGTGCCGTGTTCAGTACCCTGCACCTGTGAAATCTACTGGGTTTGTATACTCTGCCTGCAACCAGTGGTTTTGTTTTTGAAACTGGCGGGCAAAAGTAGTTCCTTACCCACAACGCTCTTCTCTGGTGGTGGAGGGATGATACAGCCGTTTAGGGAGTGCTTCACCGACAGCTTCTCATATAGCCCAAGGAAATCACTGAACCTCCTCCACACCGAGAATGTCCTGTTCCTGAACATGGGTAATGTAGTCTGGGGGGTGGGGGGTGTAATTAGTGAAGATTAGTATCAGTTTGCGAAAGACAAAAGCACAAGTTCTGATTTCATAGAGGACACTGACAGAAGTAGACCTACTCAACACAAGCACTGAGTAATTCCTTCAAATTGTTCATGGTCACAGTGAAAAGTACAGTACAAATGGTTTGGGAGTGCTACTACGTACATGACCAGAACTAGCTGTTTAAAAAGTCCCGATTTTGCAGAAGTTACATACCCGAGTAGACACTTTGTAGGCCATGTAAGCATTCATGCCATCTCCTAAAAGGGAAGATCAAATTGTCATGTTACAGAGGTTGAGACACAGTTTAGTTTCAAATATGAAATCCGAGACTGGAAATTGACACACAAACTAAAATAAGAAAAAAACTAGCATATCCTGGCTACAGCCCTCCAGGACCAATAGTGAACAACATTTAAAAACTAAACTGAGGTAAAGAGGTCGCGAGGATCTCGTCCTGGTCCGTCTTGTTCTTTCTCTTGCTTGAGCTCGTGGCATCTTGCATATCCATGCTACTCTGGCTCTTGCCGTAGCTAGCTAGCATGCCTGCCGTCTTCTGTGAGGCTTTGATATTCCGTCTTCTGTTGTCTTTCTGTCGTGTTCTTCCCATTCAACGTGACAAAAACTAACTCTAAACTTGCCATATGTAGCTAAAACAAGTTCTAGTTAGTTTCTTGCTACATTGATAGCCAATATTAGACCGTTAACCACCTAACCCTCAAAGTTGCTTGGACAAGCGAAAAAACGCTCCCTCTCACAGCGACGCCATCTTGGCTTCCTCCTTTCAAAACTAAACTCAATTGAGAGGAAGATAAGATAATTACATCATGGCTCCAATGGATTCAACCAGAATACACATTTCCAATGCTTCTAAAATGGTAGCTAAACATTAGTTTAAAGACAGTAAGAAAACGTAGAAATATCCCTTACCAATTTTCTCTGGATTGGTGACAGCAACATCCAAGTCAAAGTTGTCCTTGCCCTCTTCCTCTTCCAACTGAATTGGTGGAAATGAACAACAAGACTGTAATTATTCTTTCTCTTTTGCTAACGCTGCATAATGAAATGATGATGATGAAAATGTTTGGGGTTTTGCTAGTCTCATAAGGTCACCAGTATTTGTATGTATTTATATGGCCTATTTATTGCCTTACCTCCGTAACTTACTACATTCGCACACACTGTATATATATTTTCTGTTGTATTTTTGACTTTATGTTTTGTTTACCCCATATGTAACTCTGTGTTGTTTTTAATCGCACTGCTTTGCTTTATCTTGGCCAGGTCGCAGTTGTAAATGAGAACTTGTTCTCAACTGGCTTACCTGGTTAACTAAAGGTGAAAAAACAAACAAACAGAAAATATTCCCTATATCTGTCTTTCGAGGGCTGATAATAATTACGGTATGGCATAATGGCCCTCCGAAGCAACAAGCAGCAGACAACAACATATTACATCAAACTCAACTGTGGTGGAATTTGTTGGGCATGTCCTGCTGTAGCCTACCTGCTCTATAGACTTGGGTTGTGTTGCTGCTGTGCTTGGTGTAAGTGACCGGGTGGATTCAGCTCCGGAGGGCTTGGCTGTGGCGCTGGGGTTCTCCATGGACAGCTCCACCGAGGCCTCTGAGGGGATTGGCAACATGCAACATAAGCAAGGACGTCACTGGGAGATGAAACCAATTCAGCTCTTCAGTCCAGTATGGGTAATAATAAAGGTAAAAATGATAACATGCCTGCAAATAGATCATTCTCATCGTCTGAATGGGCACCGTTGGACTTGGGGTTGGAGGTTGTGATGGAACTGTTGACAGTGGTGCTGGTTTCTTTTTCACTGAAGACATCGGCTGGTTCTTCACCTTTGGCTGCCTCCGAATGAAAGGACTCTGCAACAGGGTTGCTCTGAAGGGTAATTAAAAACCAAGAAAGAAGAAAATTAGTACAGCAGTTAGAAACACAATAAGGTATAGAGGAATTCAAACTGAGGGTACTTAGTCAGGTCACTTTTTTAGTGCAGCTGTTTAAACCTTTCGCATACAAGGAGAAGCCAAAACCACAATATTTGGATGGGGTGGACTTGAGATATCAGTGAAAAGGGGCCAGGTCAGTTGATTGTGACAGTTAGTTTTAAAGGGCAATTATTATCATTTTTTACACTTCATATTCACCTCCAGCTGGTGTTGGAGATTATGAATTTGAAAAATTGTGAATTGTCCCTTTAATTATGTATTACATTGCTGTATTACAATGATGTATTAATGGTGTGTATTACATGGGCCTACATAGCCACAAGTCCATTACTGTCAAACTACGGTTTGTCCAAAATGAAGGTGGGGGTAACTGCTCAAGTGTGGACTATTGTCCACTATGGGATTTGAAGAAAATGTCGCATCTTTTCCTTTCTTTATTTGAGTGGAAACAAAAGTGTGTCCAACTGAAGTTAGATATATAGATATTAGTAGAACTAGCTAGCCAACGTTCAGTGAAGTTGTGAAAATATAACAGATTTAACTAGCTAACTAGTTACGTTATCAGCTGCCAAGGTCCTGGACAAGAGTGATGGCAACCATTGCTCAGATGGGCTAAAATCATAACAGAATTAGCCACCTAGGTTAGCTACAGCGGTGTGAAGCTAGCCACAATAAGGATCAGCAACAATACTGGCATTTGCAGTTCGCGTTCAAAATAAAAGTCCCCCATTGAAAGAGATTCAAACGGATACAAATAGTTTTATTTGTCACATGCGCCGTATATAACAGGTGCTTACTTACAAACCCTTAACCAACAATGCAGTTAATAAAATAGAGTAAAGAAAATATTTACTAAATAAACTAAAGTAAAAAAAAAAAAAAAAAATGTAATATCAAGAATGAGGCTATATATAATAATAATCATAATAATAATAATAATAATAAGCCATTTAGCAGACGCTTTTATCCAAAGCGACTTAGTCATGCGTGCATAATTATTTTATTTTTTTAACTAGCTAGTACAAATAGTGGAATGATGCCATATTTGGACTAGTTAATGCTAAACAAGATCGGAATGTTATATAATTTCAAGACAATAATTAGTTAATTTGACCCAAAGCAGTACAAATCAGTTGAAATCGCACTGTGGATGTATAAGACTTTAGAATTTCATTTGGGGCATACTTATATGCACTGTACAGCCTAACCTGCGACCGGGAGACCCATGGGGCGGCGCGCACAATTGGCCCAGCGTCGTCCAGGGTAGGGGAGGGATTTGGCCGGCAGGGGATGTAGCTCAGTTGGTAGAGCATGGCGTTTGCAACGCCAGGGTTGTGGGTTCAATAAAAAATAATGTATGCACTAACTGTAAGTCGCTCTGGATAAGAGCGTCTGCTAAATGACTAAAATGTAAATGTAAATGTAACCTATGGATGTTGCACCCATGAAATGAGGTATTAGCCTACTCAGGGACACTCACAGAACACGACTGTGAAGAGTTTACACAAATATTGTCCCAACTGACTGGGACGGAACGTGCTTTAGTCGACAATGTTCGATTATATTCGGCTATTGTTTACATATTGTGCACCACGTGAAATGCTCAGGAGATGGAAAATACAAGTGACAGAACTTACCGGCGTCGCAAAAAGTTGTGGAGATCAAATGTCTACAGTAAAGTATTGTTTACTTGTCTTTTTGCTGCGTCGGGAGGTTCTGCACAGACAACCGGTAAAGTAACCTCATATCATTTTACTCAACATTCTGGCTTGTAGAGAATTGCGTCTTTTTTTACAGCGACTTCTTTCAGACTGATTAGCCATCTAATAACCATGGTAACATTCTGTTTCCAGTCTGATGTTTAGTCAAGACTGTACAGTGAAATATAAGTATGCCCCCAATGCAATTCTAGTCTAATACACCCACAGTGCGATTTCAACTGATATTTTTTTGAAATTGTATTTTGTTGAATGTATATAAGCACATTCCTACATTGTTTAGCATTATCTAGTTAGTCAAATATAGCATAATTCCACTATTTGTATCCATTTGAATAACTTTCAATGGGGCACTTTTATTTTGAAAGCAAACCGCAAATTCCACTATTGTGGCTAGCTTCACACAGGTATATACATATATATAGGCTGCAGACCAGCGCTCAACAAGTTAAGAGGTTGAGTGAGTGCAGCTTCCATTCAAAAAACAAAAGGAGTTAACGTTAGCTATCTAATGGATTGTACCAGACTGGAGACTGGAAAAGTTGAGCCTAGCTAGCTGGTTGGCTAAGCTCAGTTCTGTAGTGTACAGGGCTAACATTAGCATGCTATGGAATGGTGTACAAATCCGGCTTCAGTCAGGACAAGCTGTAGCTAGTATAATCTGATATATGTCTAGTTCTTACATTGCCAACGAATGCATCCTCCCCTTCATCACTGTCTCCATCTGCCATTTCGGAAAGTGGGTCTTGGTTCTCTGCTCCAGGGAAAGGAGGGGGATTCCGCGGTGAGCTAGCCGCCATGTATGTGATGTGATGATCGCTAGCTACGCCTGTAAGCGGAAGTTGACAAGTGCAAAGTACTGTCTGGAGTGACACCTGCTGGTGATTAAACTGCAACGCATTTAGGAACGTCACAGACCTGTACTCTTTCTACAGTACTGTGTGACCAACTGTAAATGGTTCTGGAAATAGCAATATAATGAAGCACATTGTAGAAAATATACAGCCTATATATAATGTATGATATACATAGAATACTATAGGGAGTTAATTATATATCATTCATTTCTATTGGCAACGTTCAGATTCCCCTCCTTTTACCTCTGTGGTGATACCCGATCCGGTAGAATTTGAGGATGAGATCTCAAGCTGTATTCTGCTGCAATATCTGGCTCTATTTCAACCGTCATTCTGTGTTATACGTGAGGTTTTTAATGACCATGTGGCTCCAAGTGTTAGGTTAGGCATGGGCTAAAGTGGCTGGCTGGGTCATATATCAAGAGTTAAAAAATGCACCTCTACCTTCTTGAATTAACCACTAATTTGGACAGGTGAAAGCAAGGGGTCCTTACAGCTTTCACCAATGGAAGGAGGAAGGAATCAAAGAAGCATGTATTTAAAAAGCATTCTGACAGAGCAATAAGAAAATTGGGCTGTGAAAGAGATCCTCTACAGGTATTTGTTAGGAGAAACGCCCTCTGTTCTCTAGAGTCCTGCCAAATTAACAGTTTGATAAAACAAAGGGAATAGCTCCAAAATTATCATTCAATTATTAATTTTTTTAATCAAGACTTATTTACTGAACAATGATTCTTATTGATGACACAAATGTGTTCTTTGAAAACAGATAAAAGTTCAAATGTAGCCCTACAGTGTAAGAGAAAAAACCTTTAATCAGACATTAACTGAGTGAGCCTAACCAGACTCCCTTTGTAGAAACATTTTAATATAATTAATATTAATTAATAATATTAATTAATATGCCATTTAGCAGACGCTTTTATCCAAAGCGACTTACAGTCATGTGCGCATACATTTTTACGTATGGGTGGTCCCAGGAATCGAACCCACTACCCTGGCGTTACAAGCGCCATGCTCTACCAATTGAGCTACAGAGGACCGACCACATTTGCGACTTTTTTTTTATTTGTATGGTTTTTAATCAGAGTAAATCCATTCTCTGTATTCTTTCTTCCATGTGTCTGTTGATATGCCCATCAGTGTACTGTTGTCTAAAGCATTTACCACATTTACGACAGCAATATATTTTTGTCAAGGTTCCCCTTGTTGTGGAAGATTGCCACAGTCATGACAACAAAATAGTTTCTCTTCAGTGAATTGACTGATGGCATTTTAGTGGCTGATAAACCATTTTCCACACGTAAAGCACAATATGCTTGTAAGACTTGAATTTCTGGTGTAGCATGAACCACATTCATTGCAGCAAAATGATTTCTCCCCTGTGTGAAATGTCATGCTTGACCAGGTGTCCGCTCTGACTATAAGGTCAAAGCCAGACTGATCCGTGGAGAAAGGACACCAAATTCAAACGGATTATTTTTGTTCCGTGTGGAGTGTGTGACGTAAAACGCCTGCTCTTTTCTAATTGGCTAAACGGATTGTTACGTATCCGTCGCCCCGTCAAAAGTTAAACTCGGACATTTTTGTACGTGAAAATGGATGGAAATTGTATGGTTATGGACGCGTCATCTCTGCTGACCGTCAACGTATGACTTCCATTGAGAAACCATTGAAAATTACAGATTTGGATCGAAGTCATGGGGCCAGTTTGGCCTCGCCTCAATGATTTGCCACATTATTCGCATTGATGTGATTTCTCACCTGTGTGAGTCTTCACATGCTTAACAAGGTTTGACCTCTGACTGAAGGATTTGCAACATTGTTTACACCAATTTATTATATGATGAAGATTCAAATAGCTTGCGTTAGAAAAGCATTTGCTGCACACTGAACATCTGTATGGTTTCTTCCCTGTGTGAGTCCTGATGACTGACCAGGTTTGCCTTGCTGATGAAGGATTTGCCACATTCTACGCATTTGTGGCCAACCCTATTAATAGATTTAATAATTGATAGGTAAAATACAGTAACGATATGCTAGCCAAATCATTTGAGGTCAATATAGAGATCAAATTGAACTGTCCTCGATTTTCAGATGAGTTTCAAAGGAAGATAACTATTTAATTCTCATTCATTTGAGTAGAATGTCCTTTAAAAAAAAGTCACCAGAATTGACCTCACTCAATCAACAACAACATCCCCCCCCCCCCCCCCCCCCCTCTCCTTATATAGACACAAGAGCTTTGTCCTTTCGCTCTCTCTTTGCCTTGAGTATCTTCAGTCCTGACAGTCCTCCTTCACTCTCCTCCCCATTAACACTGAGCTTCACAGAGATCTGGATTTACTGCAGATTTTCACTGGTTAGTTCTGATACTGTTCTTCAGCCCCATAAACGTGCACATCTTCTTACCTGCATGCATCTCAGGTATTTCCACTGGCTTGGCTAATTTAAAAGGCATTAGCCTTATCTTGTTGGCTTGACTAGTTTATTTGGATTTCTGTATTTGGTTTGGCTTGACAATGGCTGCAATGAAGCTGCTAAGCGTATTTTCAGATCTAGGACCAGGCTAAGGGAACACGTCTAGCGGCTCTTTGATCAAAGTGGCAATGTCAACGTCTCCTCAGGTCACCTCATTCCATTGACAATCATACCACAGCCTATATATGGTTTACTCTCAGTATGTGAAAGTGTTGCCTGTGCCAACAGGTCAATGACTGGTTACCGGTATAAAGCAGAGCTACAGTGAGTAGTATAGAGAATAAGTACGGCATGATGTGTACATCAACCTGGTCTCAGAGCATTTCGTATTATTCTGTACGTACATCCTAGACGTTTGCCTTATAACGCCCATCCATCCACCCCGACCAACCACCCTACTTTCATTTTTGCCTTAGGTAACCATCGGTCTTATGTAACCATATCAAACATAACATATCATACTAATTTGAGTTTCCCGGATTTATATTTACTATGTTACGCCTAGTCTATGAGACCAGGCTGTGTACATAGGTTGGTTTGGATCAGAGCATTATCTGAAGGGCAGGCAGTAAGTAACCCATTAAAGTTTTAAGGAGAAATCGATTGACGCCCCCACACACAAGAAAATACGACATACATGACAAAACAGACAGGTAGAAACTTCAACTTTGTTAGTATTCATAATAGTTGTATACACAATGTATAAGAGCACCAATAAAAATAAAAAATAACGTTTTTTTTTGTCAAACATTTTGATTTCTTTTTTAAAAAAGCCACAGAATATTCTACAGAAAGCAAAGAGATCTCTGTACAGAAACAAGCAACAGAATTCCTCATCAGCAGCACAGTAAAACCTGCCGCTCAATTTCTGATCTCAGAAGCAAATTAACATTAAAACAAGACCAGCTGCCTGCTGCTAACCTAGGACACTACGTTACATAAACATAGCTTTTATATTTAAAACACAAGATATGGAAGAAAAGTTTTTTTTTTTCAGAAAATTGTGAAAAAGTGCAATACAGGCTTGACTGTCTACAACTTGATAGGTTATTCCCAACGTCCTGTCTTAATAGGTTATTCCCAACGTCCTGTCTTAATAGGTTATTCCCAACGTCCTGTCTTAATAGGTTATTCCCAACGTCCTGTCTTAATAGGTTATTCCCAACGTCCTGTCTTAATAGGTTATTCCCAACGTCCTGTCTTAATAGGTTATTCCCAACGTCCTGTCTTAATAGGTTATTCCCAACGTCCTGTCTTTCTTTCCCTCCGTTCCACTTTTTTGTTTTTGTTTTTACATGTTCCTTTTGTATCCATAAGTAAAATCTCTTACAGTTATTTTGACATTCATGACGATGTACATTATGAGAAACATGGTATTCACAAAAGTAGAGCATGTAACTAGGATTGCAATGACACATTTCTTTGGGTAAGAGGGCAGATGAAAAACTAGCTTCTTACATGAACATATTTTAATTTTTTTTCCTTTTTACATTGGAATTGTGTACAGAACAAGTTTATTTTTCTTCATACAAAACAAACTACATGTATAAAAAAAAAGAAAAAAAAGAAATCTGAATCTGGGAGTCCCATTCAATAGGCCGACATCGTTGCAAGTAGCATTTAAAAAGAGCGATGATGCAGTGTTTCTTTCAGATACCTCAGATAACAGTAAACACATCCTTGATTGAAAAACCTGTTTTTCACATGACAGAGAGAGAGAGAGATAAAGAGCAAAAAACAGACCTCTTCAACCAAATATTGGCTCTTGGAAACAAGGCATCCATTTCATAGCACTTTCATTTGATATATTGCCATTCCATTGAAACGACTGACTGGGTAGGATGTGTGATTGTGGGGTGAGGCACCCCGAGTCCAGCTGCCTCTGGAGGGTTCATGTCCCACAGATGGTTCTGAAGGGTCACCAGCTAACAAGCCCTACTACCTGGCACTCCAAGGCCAGCCTGGCCTGAGAGTGGTGACTGCGTGTCAGAGGGGTCACAGTGTAACTGGAGAACGTCAACAGAGGGCACAGTCATCTCGAATGTAAACGTACGGACATGTTTCGTAAGGCTTCTAGAAACGGAGCTCCCATAAACAAAAAAAGACGGAACATTTCAATGTACAAAGGGGCAACACAATGCCAGAGAATGCAAGAATCCATTCAAATGTAATTTAATAACACGCAAGGCATCTCCCCATAAGATATGAAAAGTGAGTGTTTGAGAGTCTATTTTGTCACTCTCCTCCCAAATAAAATAAAATTAAATGATGGGCTGGGGGAAAAGAATGAGGCCGTTTTTAAAAACATATGTACATATCTATACGGATATGTATATAAAAAAATAATACATGACATATTAGAAAATAATAAAATACTTGGCACAATATATAACACAGAGTAGGGAAAACAGACATCATTGGATCAAAATGATAGCTATAAAATGACCGCTTTTATGGAAATAGGGGGCTGTTGTCCAATGTTCACTTCACTGAAACAGGCCAATAGATATACAAAAATGCACAAATAAGTGACACTAATTAAACACTGTGTTTAGATTGTGCTCCATGAGCACCAACTTGAAATACCGCCATATTTGACTCTTCCTCTTGACTTGGAATCGCAATATGATGTCTGTCGGTGCGGTCTCCCCGGCAACCATAGGCGCGGTCTCCCCGGCAACCATAGGCGCGGTCTCCCCGGCAAACAAAGTATGAGAACAACCTTCTGATTCATTAAAGTTTTTTTGCTGCGAAAATTCACAATCTTCTGGTTGAAAGCGACCAATGTTCGATATCGTCTCTGAGAATGTTTCTTCATAAAAAGGTGAACTGTCTCGTTTTTTTAATGGCCATCTCCTTCCTGAGACTGAGCAAGGTAAGCCAAAAGTTTCAGTTTTGATTTTTTTTCTTTTTTCTTGAGGGGGTGTGTTGGATCCATGGATGGTATCCATGTTGTATCCGGGCATCGGGCTCCCAGTTTGCTGAGGGCTGGCTGTGTGTGTGTTCCTGCCTGTCTGTGTGTGTGTCACTACCTGGATTTGTTTGTGTGTGTGTGTGTGTTTGTGTTTCTGCCTGTATGTGTGTGTGAGCAGCGTGGTGAGTGGGCGCGTGGTTCTCAGGCTGTGGTTATGGCGTTCAGGTCCTTCATCAGGTCCTCTAGGTGGGCCATCTCCTCTGTCAACTCATCAGGCTCGTAGCTCTGAGGGAAAGGAACAGGGTTACTGCGGGGGGCAAGGGAGGAGCAGGAGGGGAGGGAGGCAAGGACCTGGGGAAGGGAAGGAGAGGGAAGGAAAGGGTCAGTTTGTTTTTGGAGGGGGTGGGAGTAATGAGGTTTACAAAAGATAGGGTAGGTGGGGTGGGTGGGTGTGAGGAATGGGTCAATGGGACTGCAGCATGAAGCGAAATCAAAGACAAATAAAGCAGCATCAACAGCCAACCATTATGTTAAGGCATTGAAAGGGGGCAAGACATCGATGCATGTGCAAAACCATTCCAATAGGTTTAGAGGAATTATTAGAAATTGGATGCAATAATATCAATGATCACAAGCGGCCAACGATAACACCATAAAACAGTGAGGGAGGCAGCAAGTTGCAAAGAATAACAGAGAGAAAGGAGACAGAAATGTGATTAAAATCAATGTCCATGTCATTTAGGATTGTGTCCAAATGTGTCCAAAAAGAAACATGACATGCTCTTGGAATGTATTCACTAGTTCAATGGGCTTGATTGATCTCTGACCAGGTTTTTACCCCAAAATGACATAGTAATTAATGTGTACTTCCTGGTACGTATTTAAAGTATGTACAAACTACAATAACAACCAACATTACATGATATGCCAGCTGATTTAACGGTAGCCTTTCTACACTAAGACCTGAGGGGGAGCAGTACTCACGTTGTCTACATCCTCCAGCATCTTGCTGGTCTCGGGCACGTCTGGGGCACTGGGCACAGTGACTGGCATGGGGGGGCGCATCCTGCCCAGTGTGCCGATGGAGGCTGTCTTTACTGAGTGGAGCTGGGGCCCTGACAGACAGACAGACACACAGAGAGAGAGAGAGAGAGAGCGAGACAGAGAGAGACAGAGACAGAGAGACAGAGAGACAGAGCGACAGAGCGACAGAGAGAGAGACAGAGAGAGAGAGACAGAGACAGAGAGAGACAGAGACAGAGAGACACACAGAGAGAGACAGAGACAGAGAGACAGAGCGACAGAGAGAGAGACAGAGACAGACAGAAAAAGACAGAGAGAGACAGAGACAGAGACAGACAGAAAGAGAGAGAGAGAGAGAGACAGAGAGAGACAGAGACAGACAGACACACACAGAGACAGACAGTGAGCCAGACAGACAGCCAGACAGACAGCCAGACAGACAGCGACGCAGAAACAGACACAGAGACAGAGACACAGACACAGAGACAGAGAGACAGACACAGAGACAGAGAGAGACAGTTAGAGGGAATCACTACTCATCATCTTCTATAATGTTCTCCTTTCTCAAGAAGCTCTACCAACAGAGGATCTTCATCTGCAGTTTGGGAGTGTAAAGCACATGTACAGGTAACTGCCCAAATAAAGGAAACACTTGAGTAAATGAGGGATACAAAGTACAAAGTATATTGAAAGCAGGTGCTTCTACACAGGTGTGGTTCCTGAGTTCATTTAGCAATTAACTACCCATCATGCTTAGGGTCATGTCTAAAAACGTCCAGTTGGCCATTATTCTGGCTACCATGGATGGAAGAAGAGATGTCTTTGAAACAGGGGTCTCAAAGGAGCATAGGGTGTGTGTGTCTCAGTCACCAGATCTCAACCCAAACCAACACTTACGGGAGATTCTGGAGCGGTGCCTGACATAGCGTTTCCACCACCATCAACGAAACACCAAATTATTGAATTTCTGTTCTGGCTGCTCTTGGTGGCCCAACGCCTTATGCATGATGTGCATTGTGTGTGTGTGTGTGTGTGTGTGTGTGTGTGTGTGTACAGTACATTATGTGCATTGTGTATGTGTGTATGTGTGTACAGTACATGATGAGCATTGTGTGTTTGTGTGTGTGTGTATGTGTGTACAGTACATGATGTGCATTGTGTGTGTGTGTGTGTGTGTACAGTACATGATGTGCATTGTGTGTGTACAGTACATGATGTGCATGGTGTGTGTGTGTGTACAGTACATTATGTGCATTGTGTGTGTACAGTACATGATGTGCATTGTGTGTGTGTGTGTGTGTGTGTGTGTGTGTGTGTACAGTACATTATGTACATTGTGTGTGTACAGTACATGATGTGCATTGTGTGTGTGTGTGTGTGTGTGTGTGTGTGTACAGTACATTATGTACATTGTGTGTGTGTACAGTACATGATGTACACTGCTCAAAAAAATAAAGGGAACACTTAAACAACACAATGTAACTCCAAGTCAATCACACTTCTGTGAAATCAAACTGTCCACTTAGGAAGCAACACTGATTGACAATACATTTCACATGCTGTTGTGCAAATGGAATAGACAACAGGTGGAAATTATAGGCAATTAGCAAGACACCCCCAATAAAGGAGTGGTTCTGCAGGTGGTGACCACAGACCACTTCTCAGTTCCTAAGCTTCCTGGCTGATGTTTTGGTCACTTTTGAATGCTGGCGGTGCTTTCACTCTAGTGGTAGCATGAGACGGAGTCTACAACCCACACAAGTGGCTCAGGTAGTGCAGCTCATCCAGGATGGCACATCAATGCGAGCTGTGGCAAGAAGGTTTGCTGTGTCTGTCAGCGTAGTGTCCAGAGCATGGAGGCGCTACCAGGAGACAGGCCAGTACATCAGGAGACGTGGAGGAGGCCGTAGGAGGGCAACAACCCAGAAGCAGGACTGCTACCTCCGCCTTTGTGCAAGGAGGAGCACTGCCAGAGCCCTGCAAAATGACCTCCAGCAGGCCACAAATGTGAATGTGTCTGCTCAAATGGTCAGAAACAGACTCCATGAGGGTGGTATGAGGGAACAACGTCCACAGGTGGGGGTTGTGCTTACAGCCCAACACCGTGCAGGACGTTTGGCATTTGCCAGAGAACACCAAGATTGGCAAATTCGCCACTGGCGCCCTGTGCTCTTCACAGATGAAAGCAGGATCACACTGAGCACATGTGACAGACGTGACAGAGTCTGGAGACGCCGTGGAGAACGTTCTGCTGCCTGCAACATCCTCCAGCATGACTGGTTTGGCGGTGGGTCAGTCATGGTGTGGGGTGGCATTTCTTTTGGGGGCCGCACAGCCCTCCATGTGCTCACCAGAGGTAGCCTGACTGCCATTAGGTACCGAGATGAGATCCTCAGACCCCTTGTGAGACCATATGCTGGTGCGGTTGGCCCTGGGTTCCTCCTAATGCAAGACAGTGCTAGACCTCATGTGGCTGGAGTGTGTCAGCAGTTCCTGCAAGAGGAAGGCATTGATGCTATGGACTGGCCCGCCCGTTCCCCAGACCTGAATCCAATTGAGCACATCTGGGACATCATGTCTCGCTCCATCCACCAACGCCACGTTGCACCACAGACTGTCCAGGAGTTGGCGGATGCTTTAGTCCAGGTCTGGGAGGAGATCCCTCAGGAGACCATCCACCACCTCATCAGGAGCATGCCCAGGCGTTGTAGGGAGGTCATACAGGCACATGGAGGCCACACACACTACTGAGCCTCATTTTGTCTTGTTTTAAGGACATTACATCAAAGTTGGATCAGCCTGTAGTGTGGTTTTCCACTTTAATTTTGAGTGTGACTCTAAATCCAGACCTCCATGGGTTGATAAATTTGATTTCCATTGATAATTTTTGTGTGATTTTGTTGTCAGTACAACTATGTAAAGAAAAAAGTATTTAATAAGATTATTTCATTCATTCAGATCTAGGATGTGTTATTTTAGTGTTCCCTTAATTTTTTTGAGCAGTGTATATTGTGTGTGTGTGTGTACAGTACATGATGTGCATTGTGTGTGTGTGTGTGTGTGTACAGTACATGATGTGCATTGTGTGTGTGTGTGTACAGTACATGATGTGCATTGTGTGTGTGTGTGTGTGTGTGTGTGTGTGTGTGCGCGCTCCTCACCAGTCTGAGTAAGCAGTGGCGTGCTGGGCAGGGCAGGCGACTCGAAGTTGGCCGCGGGGCCGGCGGGCACGGCAAAGCTCTTGAGGGGGTGCGTGGGGCGCACATGGGCGGTGGGGGGCTGGCCGGCGCTGCAGTAGCTGCCGCTGGCGCTGGGCTCATCGTCGTTGGCCGTGGAGCCGTGGTAGCTGCCCTCGGGGTCCGGATGAGGGTGCTGGTGCTCTGCTGAGCAGGGGGGCTGGGCCTGGGGCGGGAGGGGCTCTGCGCTGGGGGTGTTCCTCACCGACTCTGCAGTCACAAAAAGGAGTGTGGGGGGGACAGGTCAGTGGATATTGTGTATGAAACAGTATGTGTATAGCCTGGGTTCTAGCGTTGTAGTGTCCATAAATAAGGCTTTTGAGAAAGAGATGTTAATATCAATGTTATGATGAAGCGTGATGGAGTTTAGTGAAAAATATGGAACACTGGTGTGTAATAAATGTGTTATCAAGGTTGTTTGATTCTGCAACCCTCAAAGGTGTCATGACTGGTTTCATGTATTATACATTACATGTTATTAGTTTTACCTTTATTTAACTAGGCAAGTCACACACTGAGTATGGGTGAGTGAGTAGTGGACGAGGCCACGAGAACAATGGAATGTGACAGCCCCACAGTGGACCCACAGATAAGATGTGACAGCCCCCACAGTGGACCCACTGATAAGAGGATGTGACAGCCCCCACAGTGGACCCACAGATAAGAGGATGAGACCGCCCCACAGTGGACCCACAGATAAGAGGATGTGACAGCCCCACAGTGGACCCACAGATAAGAGGATGTGACAGCCCCACAGTGGACCCACAGATAAGAGGATGTGACAGCCCCACAGTGGACCCACAGATAAGATGTGACAGCCCCCACAGTGGACCCACTGATAAGAGGATGTGACAGCCCCCACAGTGGACCCACAGATAAGAGGATGAGACCGCCCCACAGTGGACCCACAGATAAGAGGATGTGACAGCCCCACAGTGGACCCACAGATAAGAGGATGTGACAGCCCCACAGTGGACCCACAGATAAGAGGATGTGACAGCCCCACAGTGGACCCACAGATAAGAGGATGAGACCGCCCCACAGTGGACCCACAGATAAGAGGATGGACAGCCCCACAGTGGACCCACAGATAAGAGGATGTGACAGCCCCACAGTGGACCCACAGATAAGAGGCTGTGACAGCCCCACAGTGGACCCACAGATAAGAGGATGAGACCGCCCCACAGTGGACCCACAGATAAGAGGATGAGACCGCCCCACAGTGGACCCACAGATAAGAGGATGTGACAGCTCCACAGTGGACCCACAGATAAGAGGATGAGACCGCCCCACAGTGGACCCACAGATAAGAGGATGTGACAGCCCCACAGTTGACCCACAGATAAGATGTGACAGCCCCACAGTGGACCCACAGATAAGAGGATGGACATGAAAGATAACGCTCCTGTGTTCTTCCTCAGAATCAGGACAGAAAGACAGACAGAGAACGACGAGCTGCCCGCATGTAACCCCTCCGCTGTCCTGCAGGTGGCAGTGGTCTCTCACCTGTGGAGTCCACCCTGTCTAGATGGGAGATGGGGGTGGCGCAGGTATGCGGGCGCAGGTGGGCACTGCCCTGGTGGTGATGGAGGTAGCTGCGTGTCGGGGATGCCAGGCTGCCCGTGTGATAATGGTGGTGATGGTTATCAAGGGAATGGATGGGATGAGCGCTAATCACGGCTGTGAATGAACACACACACACACACACAGAGACAACACAACATTTAACCAGCCGCGCTGACGAAGGGGTGTGGAAGCAGTGCTGTTCAAATACACTCACACACACATGCTTGCACTCGTGCAAGCACACACACCATGGAGAGGCCAGGTTCATAGTGACACCATGAAGCAGTACTATTTAACCATACACACGTATACAATACCTCCACAGAGTGGGTCTGGTGTACTTTTGAATTGGCAGCGTAATTTGGTAGCCATGAATGTGTTAGAAAACTGAAATGAGATGAAGGCTAAAACATAGAAACAGATCCTATAGAATAACGTGTTGACTGTATTGACTGTAGTGCTCCCATTCTATTGACTGTAGTGCTCCCATTCTATTGACTGTAGTGCTCCCATTCTATTGACTGTAGTGCTCCCATTCTATTGACTGTAGTGCTCCCATTCTATTGACTGTAGTGCTCCCATTCTATTGACTGTAGTGCTCCCATTCTATTGACTGTAGTGCTCCCATTCTATTGACTGTAGTGCTCCCATTCTATTGACTGTAGTGCTCCCATTCTATTGACTGTAGTGCTCCCATTCTATTGACTGTAGTGCATCATCATGGGAGGAAGAAACCAGAAGATGATATTCCTTTGAGCTGCCCAGTACGATAGTCTGAGTGGTAAATAGTATTTCTATTGACCAGTGAGAGCACAGATCCCACACACATATTCATTCACACGGCGTGCGCGCACACACACACACACACACACACACACACACACTTACGCTGGGGGGGCTGCGTATCGAAGGGCATCATCATTTTAGGCCGCATCCCACGGCGCCCTGCCAGTGCAGACATGCTGTCTTCTGATTCGTGGCCTGCAAGTCAGAGTTTTGCCTTGATCACTATTGCTAGTGACTCTGAACGAAGAACGTTTGAAAATATATCTAATTGTGCTTGGATTGACAGGAAAAATCGAAGGGTTCGGTTATCTGGCTCCTGAGAGAAATTTGTGACTCAACAGTCGTGAGGCTGTGTTTGTGTTTAGAGGGAAGGATCACCACTAACCAATGTATGAAATGTTAAATGTATGAAAAGCAGGAAATGTTTAGCATGACAACGACAAAGACATTGCCTCTTCAAAACACAGACAAACCAATCCCCAAACTGACTACATCAATCTGACCTCGGTAGGAATTCCGTCTCTGCAGCAGGCTGTTGTCCAGGCTGGGGTCCACGGTGTTGATGTCCTGCGAGGTGCGGGGGATGGGGGTGTCAGTCATCACCGGGTTGGGCTCAGGGGACTTGTCAATGGGCTTGAGCTCCAGCCGCTCGTGGTGGATCCATAGGTCTGGAGGCTTCAGGTCCTTGGAGTTGCCCTTGTACTTGTGGGAGCTGTTGGACAACTTGGAGGCCGCCCGCTTCCTATGAGATAGAGAAGAGGGAAAGGGGGGGGTGAGGTGTTGGTTGAAAAGGGGGAGGGTGAGGTGTTGGTTGAAAAGGGGGAGGGTGAGGTGTTGGTTGAAAAGGGGGGTTGAGGTGTTGGTTGAAAAGGGGGGGGTGAGGTGTTGGTTGAAAAGGGGGGGGTGAGATGTTGATTGAAAAGGGGGGGTGAGGTGTTGGTTGAAAAGGGGGGGTGAGGTGTTGGTTGAAAGGGGGGTATAAAGTGGAGTGGTAGGGAGAGGAAAGAGAAGGATAACAGAAGGAAAGGAGATAGTCTATAGATAGTTGTCAAGCTCATCTCAGATGTTCTGTGTGTGTGTTATAACCCTGTGTTGTTGGTCTGGTATTGGCTGGGACATTCGTGACCTTAGGGACATTATTGATGTGGCGGATCGGCTCACTTTTTCTGGTGGGAGGTGGTGCGTCGTGTGCAGAGGAAGGCCCCCACAACCACCACGATGATGGTGAACGCTCCCACAGAGACGATGATGATGATGACCAGGATGTGGGTGTCCCCGCTGCCTTTAATTCCTGGTTTTCCTGGACCGGAGAGGTGAGAAAGAAAATCCTATTTATCCACATACAAATTAATGTCCTCATTGGAGATCAATTAGTGTATATAACAATTATTTTGTTTGTGTTTTAATTCATTCATTCATGTAGAGACATACATTTCCCATTACACTCCTTTTAGAATGATGACTAATATTTCAGACCAATAGGAGACTTGTGTAAGGGGTTTGGGTTAGATTCTATCTCATGAATTACTTCCGTCACACTTTATTTGGATAGTCCCATATAGATGCTCTACAGATGGTCATACTATCAACAAAATATATGTTGATAAGCAAATGCTTGCTAAGGTTACAGTTAGGGTTAGGTTAGATGTTAGGGCTAGGGTAAGGGTTAAGTTTAGGGTTAGGGCTAGGGTTAGTGGATAGTTAGTTGACATGTTGTTGACAGTTATTGAACATCTACACACCATCTACTTAGAAAAATCCAAATAAAGTGTTAGCATGACTTCTTATGTGAATAGGGTTTTGTTCAGTTCCTGCACACTATCTTAGCTGAGAAAGACATTAGTGCTCAATTCCATTTCAGCTTCAATCTGTAAATGAATCCAATGTACCGTGGAACAGGAACTGAACAAAGACCTATTCACACTAAAAACCATTTATGAGGTGGAATGAAATGGACCCACACTGCGGCCAATTGAGTTGATCAAATCAGAATGGACAATGGTGACCTGAAAAGGCCATTACCGTGTGGAGACCCAAAGCCATGGTCAAGAGGTGGTTGGTGACTTCCTGGTTTAACTGGTAAATTGGCTGAGAGAGAGGAGACACAACCACCAGTCATTACACCCAGTTAATGAAATATTACCGGACATATTCACCTTAGCAGAACGCAGATGAAGGGCTTTAGGCACGTGAGTGAGGAAAAAGAAAACAATCTGCACAGTCAATCAGTCATCATTGAGAAGAAGTGAATGGAAGGGAAGAGGGAATTACCTTGGTCATTAGCCATTTTGTCAGAGGATTCAGCTAAACAGCCCAAAGGAGACAGTAGCCAGGGAAAGAAAATACAAAGCAAACACTGGTTAGAGGCGGTAAGGAGAGCAGAGAGCAGAGAAAGAGAGAGAGAGAGAGAGAGAGAGGTAAAGAGTGCAGCATTGGAGGGGCAGGCAAGCAAGTGTGAACACCAATAAAGGAGAGAGAGATTGAGAGAGAGAGAAGGAGAGGGGGAAAGAAAGAGAAAGAGATAGAGAGGGGGAGAGAGAGAGAGAAAGAGATAGAGAGAGGGGAGAGAGAGAGAGAGAGAGAGAAAGAGATAGAGAGGGGGAGAGAGAGAGAGAGAGAAAGAGACAGGGTAGGCTCGGCCCAACAGAATGGTATGTTGTTTGCCAGCATCTATAGAAAGGGGATTGAGAATGCAGCCTGCTACCAGTGAAGAGAAGCTAAGATAATTATTTGAATCTTGACAGACCATTCCGCCCATAATAACGCATATTAATAACTCGACCAATAAGAACAGTTAATACAATCATCCCAATGTTCAACCTTTCAGAGCCTATCAACCTCCAAGGGTTTCCCCCTCCACTTACTCTTGGGGGTGCGGAAGTGTACGGCCTCTGACATGGGGCCCATGCCCTTGGAGTTACGGGCCTGGATCTTGAAGTAGTAGGTGGTGTCCAGAGTCAGCTCCTGGATCTGGTGGGTCAACCTGTTGCCCACCACTGGCTCTATCACCCAGTCATGTACCTCCGCATTCACATCAGTACTGTAGTAGATGATGTAGCCTAGTGGAGCAGGGAGATGGGGGGAGAGAGAGAGATGGGAGAGAGAGAGATGGGAGAGAGGAGAGAGATAGATGGGAGAGAGGAGAGAGAGAGATGGGAGAGAGGAGAGAGGGGGGGGAGAGAGGGGGGGGGGGGGAGGAGAGAGAGAGAAGGTTAGAGAACAGTTTCAGACCACTTGTTTCTCTGACTGAATAAACATGATAACGGAGAGAGTGTGTGTGTGTGTGTGTGTGTGTGTGTGTGTGTGTGTGGTCTCACCTGTGATTTTTCCATTGGCCTCTGAGGGGGGCTGCCAGTTGACTATGATGGTGCGTGGTTTCAGTTCCTTGCTCACCACAGTCACATCTTTGGGGGACGAGCTGGGAACTGTTAAAGTCAAACAACAGAGAAGGCAGTATGGGAACAAGGACATTCATGAGAGAACTCTTGGCTTTGACATCAAACAGGGGCTGCTTATTAAAGTGCTGTTTCACACATGTACCAGTGTGTGTAACCTGTACCAGTGTGTGTAACCTGTACCAGTGTGTGTAACCTGTACCAGTGTGTGTAACCTGTACCAGTGTGTGTGTAACCTGTACCAGTGTGTGTGTGTAACCTGTACCAGTGTGTGTGTGTAACCTGTACCAGTGTGTGTGTGTGTAACCTGTACCAGTGTGTGTGTGTGTAACCTGTACCAGTGTGTGGTGAAATGGAAATGTGTTTTTTGCATATCCCACTCCCCGAGACACCCTCGGAGAGTGGGGTCACGGCATGGGATCAGCCATTATTGACGGCGACCCGGGAGCAATTAGGGTTAAGTGCCTTGCTCAAGGGCAGATTGACAGATTTGTTTAAAAAATTTCGGCTCAGGGATTCGAACTAGCAACCTATAGGTTACTGGCCTAACCACTAGGTGACCTGCCGCATATTACAGAAAAGCAGTCCATGACAAATGTCAACTACAATCAGCTTTGAGGGTACAATGATATTCTGTGTAGTCATGTTAAAAAACACGGAAACAAGTACTTCACTGAAGATTCTTTCATTGATGTGTGTGAGTGTCCTCGGTATGCCTCTGTGTGTGTCGACACGGTATGCCTGTGTGTGTGTGTACACGGTATGCCTGTGTGTGTGTGTGTGTACACAGTATGCCTGTGTGTGTGTGTACACAGTATGCCTGTGTGTGTGATCTTACTGGTCTCAAAGGTGGTTCCCTGGGCCGTCATGCTCCAGGTGCTGGTCCTCCTGCCCTTGGTCACCATGACAGAGAACTCATACAGCGTGTTGGGCTTCAGGCCCGTCACCATGTGGCTCAGGTTGGTGGTGTTGGCCGTCTGAAAACACACACACACACACACACACACACACACACACAGTTCATATTGGAAGGTAGAGTACAGACTTTGACCACAAAGTTGCACTCAAGACCAACGGAACCAGTGTTTCAAAGCAGAAACCTGCTACATGCATCTTTAGCACAAAAACACAGCCATGAATCAATAATACAGTGCCTTCAGAAAGTATTCACACCCGTGGACGTTTTCTTGTTACAGCCGGAATTTAAAATCTATTACATTGAGATTTTTTGTCACTGGCCTACACACCAGAGTGTTTCCACCCCATAATGTCAAAGTACAAATTAATTAAATGAAAAGCTGAAATGTCTCGAGTCAATAAAGTATTCAACCCCTTTGTTATGGCAAGCCTAAATACAGTGCCTTGCAAAAGTATTCATCCCCCTTGGCGTTTTTCCTATTTTGTTGCATTACAACCTGTAATTTAAACAGATTTTTATTTGGATTTCATGTAATGGACATACACAAAATAGTCCAAATTGGTGAAAAAAATGACTTGTTGGCGCGTGCATATGTATTCACCCCCTTCGCTATGAAGCCCCTAAATAAGATCTGGTGCAACCAATTACCTTCAGAAGTCACATAATGAGTTAAATAAAGTCCACCTGTGTGAAATGATCTCAGTATATACAGTAGGGAGAAAAAGTATTTAGTCAGCCACCAATTGTGCAAGTTCTCCCACTTAAAAAGATGAGAGAGGCCTGTAATTTTCATCATAGGTACACGTCAACTATGACAGACAAATTGAGAAAAAAAAATCCAGAAAATCACATTGTCTGATTTTTTATGAATTTATTTGCAAATTATGGTGGAAAATAAGTATTTGGTCACCTACAAACAAGCAAGATTTCTGGCTCTCACAGACCTGTAACTTCTTCTTTAAGAGGCTCCTCTGTCCTCCACTCGTTACCTGTATTAATGGCACCTGTTTGAACTTGTTATCAGTATAAAAGACACCTGTCAACAACCTCAAACAGTCACACTCCAAACTCCACTATGGCCAAGACCAAAGAGCTGTCAAAGGACACCAGAAACAAAATTGTAGACCTGCACCAGGCTGGGAAGACTGAATCTGCAATAGGTAAGCAGCTTGGTTTGAAGAAATCAACTGTGGGAGCAATTATTAGGAAATGGAAGACATACAAGACCACTGATAATCTCCCTCGATCTGGGGCTCCACGCAAGATCTCACCCCGTGGGGTCAAAATGATCACAAGAACGGTGGGACCTAGTGAATGACCTGCAGAGAGCTGGGACCAAAGTAACAAAGCCTACCATCAGTAACACACTACGCCGCCAGGGACTCAAATCCTGCAGTGCCAGACGTGTCCCCCTGCTTAAGCCAGTACATGTCCAGGCCCGTCTGAAGATTGCTAGAGTGCATTTGGATGATCCAGAAGAGGATTGGGAGAATGTCATATGGTCAGATGAAACCAAAATAGAACTTTTTGGTAAAAACTCAACTCGTCGTGTTTGGAGGACAAAGAATGCTGAGTTGCATCCAAAGAACACCATACCTACTGTGAAGCATGGGGGTGGAAACATCATGCTTTGGGGCTGTTTTTCTGCAAAGGGACCAGGACGACTGATCCGTGTAAAGGAAAGAATGAATGGGGCCATGTATCGTGAGATTTTGAGTGAAAACCTCCTTCCATCAGCAAGGGCATTGAAGATGAAACGTGGCTGGGTCTTTCAGCATGACAATGATCCCAAACACACCGCCCGGGCAACGAAGGAGTGGCTTCGTAAGAAGCATTTCAAGGTCCTGAAGTGGCCTAGCCAGTCTCCAGATCTCAACCCCATAGAAAATCTTTGGAGGGAGTTGAAAGTCTGTGTTGCCCAGCGACAGCCCCAAAACATCACTGCTCTAGAGGAGATCTGCATGGAGGAATGGGCCAAAATACCAGCAACAGTGTGTGAAAACCTTGTGAAGACTTACTGAAAACGTTTGACCTGTGTCATTGCCAACAAAGGGTATATAACAAAGTATTGAGTAACTTTTGTTATTGACCAAATACTTATTTTCCACCATAATTTGCAAATAAATTCATTACAAATCCTACAATGTGATTTTCTGGATAATTTTTTCTAATTTTGTCTGTCATATTTGACGTGTACCTATGATGAAAATTACAGGCCTCTCTCATCTTTTTAAGTGGGAGAACTTGCACAATTGGTGGCTGACTAAATACTTTTTTCCCCCACTGTATACACCTGTTCTGAAAGGCCCCAGAGTCTGCAACACCACTAAGCAAGGGGCACCACCAAGCAAGCGGCACCATGAAGACCAAGGAGCTCTCCAAACAGGTCAGGGACAACGTTGTGGAGAAGTACAGATCAGGGTTGGGTTATAAAAAAATATTAGAAACTTTGAACATCCCACAGAGCACCATTAAATCCATTATTTAAAAAATGGAAAGAATATGGCACCACAACAAACCTGCCAAGAGACGGCCGCCCACCAAAACTCACGGACCAGGCAAGGAGGGCATTAATCAGAGGCGCAACAAAGAGACAATTGGAGTATCTGTCCATAGGACCACTTTAAGCCGTACACTCCACAGAGCTGGGCTTTACGGAAGAGTGGCCAGAAAAAAGCCATTGCTTAAAGAAAAAAATAAGTAAACACGTTTGGTGTTCGCCAAAAGGCATGTGGGAGACTCCCCAAACATATGGAAGAATGTACTCTGGTCAGATGAGACTAAAATTGAGCTTTTTGGCCATCAAGGAAAATGTCTGCCGCAAACCCAATACCTCTCAACACCCCGAGAACACCATCCCCACAGTGAAGCATGGTGGTGGCAGCATCATGCTGTGGGGATGTTTTTCATCGGCAGGGACTGGGAAAATGGTCAGAATTGAAGGAATGATGGATGGCGCTAAATACAGGGAAATTCTTGAGGGAAACCTGTTTCAGTCTTCCAGAGATTTGAGACTGGGACGGAGGTTCACCTTCCAGCAGGACAATGACCCTAAGCATACTGCTAAAGCAACACTCGAGTGGTTTAAGGGGAAACATTTAACTGTCTTGGAATGGCCTAGTCAAAGCCCAGATCTCAATCCAATTGAGAATATGTGGAATGACTTAAAGATTGCTGTACACCAGCGGAACCCATCCAACTTGAAGGAGCTGGAGCAGTTTTGCCTTGAAGAATGGGCAAAAATCCCAGTGGCTAGATGTGCCAAGCTTATAGACATACTCCAAGACACTTGCAGCTGTAATTGCTGCAAAAGGTGGCTCTACAAAGTATTGACTTTGGGGGGGGGGGTGAATAGTTATGCACGCTCAAGTTTTCAGTTTTTTTGTCTTATTTCTTGTTTGTTTCACAATAAAAAATATTTTGAATATCCCTTTGAGCATGGTGAAGTTATTAATTACACTTTAGATAGTGTATCAATACACCCAGTCACTACAAAGATACAGGCCTCCTTCCTAACTCAGTTGCCGGAGAGGAAGGACACCACTCAGGGATTTCACCATGAGGCCAATGGTGACTTTAAAACAGTAACAGAGTTTAATGGCTGTGATAGGAGAAGACTGAGGATACATCAACAATGTTGTAGTTACTCCACAATGCTAACCTAATTGATAGAGTGAAAATAAGGAAGCATGTACATAATACAAATATTCCAAAACATGCATCCTGTTTGCAACAAGGCACTAAAGTAATACTGCAAAAAATGTGGCAAAGTAATTAACTTTTTATCCTAAATACAAAGTGTTATGTTTGGGGCAAACACATTACTGAGTACCACTCTCCATATTTTCAAGCATATGGGTTGGCTGCATCATGTTATGGGTAAGCTTGCGAATGTTAAAGACTGGGGAGTTTTTCAGGATACATTTTTTTACTGAATGGTGCTAAGCACAGGCAAAATCCTAGAGGAAAACCTGATTCAGTCTGCTTTCCACCAGACACTGGGAGATGAATTCACCTTTCAGCAGGACAATAACTAAAGCCCAAGGCCAAATCTACACTGGGGTTGCTTACCAAGAAGACATGTTCCTGAGTGGCCGAGTTACAGCTTTGACTGAAATCTATAGTACTTGAAAATCTATGGCAAGACCATATAGCAATGATCAACAACTAATTTGATAGAGCTTGAAGAATTTAGAAAATAATAAAAATGGGAAAATTTTTCACAATCCAGGTGTGGAAAGCTCTTAGACTATTACCCAGAAAGACTCACAGCTGTAATCGCTTTCAAAGGTGCTTCTACAAAAGTATTGACTTAGGGGTGTGAATTATTATGTAAATTAGATATTTTCAATAAAATTGCCAACATTTCTAAAAACCTGTTTTCACTTTGTCATTATGGGGTATTGTGTGTAATAAAAAAAAATATATTTAATAAATGTTAAATTCAGGCTGTAACACCTCAAAATGTGGAATAAGTCAAGGGGTATGAATACTTTCTGAAGGCACTGTACATAAACAAATGACGGATAAACTACATAGAGGCTATTCATCCCAAAATAATACTTGAAACGTAGTAGGTATAACATGTGAGACCAGTGGACACCATTTAAATAAAGACAAGATGACATGCAGCGATGAAAATACATCTTATTACTTTATTAAGCCCATTTCCTCACTATGCCAACAGACTATGCCTAATCTAGTACCTAGATAGTCTTAGTCCCCTGGTGAAGGCTAGTTCAGGTCCTAGCTTTCTAAATAGCCTGCTCCAGTGATGCTAGCCACGCCGTGTAGTGTACTAAACAAGACATATATGTCATCCAGGATGTCACAGAGAGAAAAACATTCTGTCCTTTTAGTTGAGTGGAGAGGAGCCATCTGTTTAATAATGTAGGTACACGCTGTGTGTCTGTGTGAAACAGGAAGGCACTTCTGACAGCTGGGACGATCACATCAAGGTGAGAATAATTGTCCAGTGTGAACAATGCATTCGTCTTCCTACAAAACAACAGGGTGACTAACAGGGTTGGGGTCAATTCCATTTCAATCCAGCCAAGAGATTAGTCAAAATTCTAATTCAGACTTGAAAAGCTCCATTTATTTTCACTGGATCTTTGGTAATTCTCAAGTTCAATTCACTTCCTGGATAGACCAAATTGAAATGGAATTGACCCTAACCCCTAATTAGCTCATTAGCATCAACATCACCTGGTTGTCCTCAGTGTGTTGCATTGCGCTAACAGTGACTGCAGTCGCTCCAGACTAGCCATTTAGCATCTACATGCACTTTCAATAACCAGACTAGCCTTTTAGCAATTACACAAGCTTTCAATAACCAGACTAGCCTTTTAGCATCTACATGCGCTTTCAATAACCAGACTAGCCTTTTAGCAATTACACAAGCTTTCAATAACCAGACTAGCCTTTTAGCAATTACACAAGCTTTCAATAACCAGACTAGCCTTTTAGCAATTACACAAGCTTTCAATAACCAGACTAGCCTTTTAGCATCTACATGCGCTTTCAATAACCAGACTAGCCTTTTAGCAATTACACAAGCTTTCAATAACCAGACTAGCCTTTTAGCAATTACACAAGCTTTCAATAACCAGACTAGCCTTTTAGCATCTACATGCGCTTTCAATAACCAGACTAGCCTTTTAGCACCTCTATGTTCTGAATCTTGACAGTCCCCATGTTAGGTGATGGATACAAGCAGTCTCTATGTTCAGTATAGGGATTGACTAACTGCTGAATCAGAATGATGTGTGTTGTATGAACAGTCTGTATTCAGAATGCACTGTCAGGCCCCCATCCCCCAGACTTCTGTCTGTCTTGTCCTCGTTGAATCATTTATGAAACACAGCCCTTTATTCGTGTTCTGCTCTCTACCACACACACACACACACCATTCCTAATCTTGTTGAGGGGGATAAGTAATACTGTTAATTGAGCTAGGGCAGGATGCTGAAGCCTGGATGAGCATCTCTTACACCTAGTTGAAGGGTTTGTCTTTCTGGGTTTTATACCATACTATGCAGTGCACTGACTTAATGACTCCAGTGCAATCAATGCAATTTATTTGTTACAAGATATTCAATTTATCGCAGACACTATAAACGTCAGTGCTTCATCTATTGGTATTTACTTATCAAAGTGAACATCTCTGTTGTGTAGCATTTAGATGGGGAAGGACTGTGGGAAGGACTGTGAGGCGTTTTGAACCTCATGTAATTGGTGGGTGGGATTACTTTACATCGATTCCTTACCCTGATAGTGGGATAGCTGAACACTTTGATGATTAGAATGGCACAGTAGTAGGATACATATAATATGCTGTGCTCTGATGACACCTTCTACTTTAAAATGAGCCATGAGGGAATCAATAAAAGCTGTGTTGTTTTGAATGGGACCCGGTGGCCGTGACCGTACCTTGAGCTTGGTGTTGGCGGGGATGTTGGTCTTCCAGCGCACCGTATAGTAGCGGGCGTCGGTGATCTTCTGGTTCTTGGGCAGAGAGTTGTCGGCCCAGGTCACCTTGATGGTGTCGTGGCTGAGCACCGAGGACTGTACGCCCACGGGAGGTAGCATGGGGGTGGGGTCTGGTACTGGCGTGAATGGAGCATGGAAGAGTTCATACAAATCAACATCAGGGCCTATGGGGTCTGCCAGCGGTTACCAACACACAAGGTTCATAACAGGTGGCAAACAGAACATGGTGGAAAAAGAGGGAAGAAATTAAAAACATAAAAAAAGGTGTGTTTTGTGGCGAGGTGGATAGAACAAAAACAAAAGCAAGACCGGTTAAAAGGAAACGGGGTGGCGGGGTTGAGAGAGAGGGGGGGGGGGGGGGGGAGGATACGAATAAGACCGGTTAAAAGGAAACGGGGTGGCGGGGTTGAGAGAGGGGGGGGGGGGGATACGAATAAGGGTATAACATATGTTAATGAGTTATTAAAATGAGGGAGGTGGAGGGTGGGGGGGATTGGGAAAGGTGAAGAGAAAGAGAGAAAATTCTATTAGATCAACAGACACAGCTATTGGCTACATCAAGGCTTTCTACTGTCTATACAAGGGCTGTTGTCGATCAGACCTGGTTCAAATACCCATTTGTTTTCATGTATTTGATCCAGGGCTGTTGTGTACAACATAATCAACTCACATTATCCACACTAAGTAAAGATGGATAATCACTCAATGGAAAGCTACAACTAGAAGGAAAGTGCAACAGAGTAATCTCTAGTAAAGGTCAAATACATAACATTTAGCCACCTTGCTTGAGAAAAAAATAGGAAAGACAACAGATCAACAGAACAACACATCAACAAGAAAAAGACAACAGATCAACAGAATCTGTACATATTACTTCAACTACCTCAACTAGCCGGTGCCCCCGCACATTGACTCTGCACCGGTACCCCCCTGTATATATAGCCTCCCTACTGTTATTTTATTTAACTTCTGCTCTTTTTTTCTCAACACTTTTTTTGTTGTCGTTTTATTTTTACTTTTTTGTTAAAAATAAATGCACTGTTGGTTAAGGGCTGTAAGTAAGCATTTCACTGTAATGTCTGCACCTGTTGTATTCGGCGCATGTGGCCAATAAAATTTGATTTGATTTGAGAACAACACAACAAGAAAAAGACAAGATTAAAAATGGCATCTCTAAAACAGTTCCCAGATCTTTTGATATGGTTTTGGTTAAGAGCAGCACAAATACCATACTGACTTACCACACCTTTAAAGAAGAATGCTTATTTTTCATTATTGATAAGAAGGTCTCTGAGTGCAAGGCTAAACAGTGACTCGGTGAATAAGGGCCACAACTACACAGTCTCTATGTGAATACAGGCACTACTTTACAGTGTCTCTATGTGAATACAGGCACTACTTTACAGTGTCTCTATGTGAATACAGGCACTACTTTACAGTGTCTCTATGTGAATACAGGCACTACTTTACAGTGTCTCTATGTGAATACAGGCACTACTTTACAGTGTCTCTATGTGAATACAGGCACTACTTTACAGTGTCTCTATGTGAATACAGGCACTACTTTACAGTGTCTCTATGTGAATACAGGCACTACTTTACAGTGTCTCTATGTGAATACAGGCACTACTTTACAGTGTCTCTATGTGAATACAGGCACTAATTTACAGTGTCTCTATGTGAATACAGGCACTACTTTACAGTGTCTCTATGTGAATACAGGCACTACTTTACAGTGTCTCTATGTGAATACAGGCACTACTTTACAGTGTCTCTATGTGAATACAGGCACTACTTTACAGTGTCTCTATGTGAATACAGGCACTACTGGCACTACTTTACAGTGTCTCTATGTGAATACAGGCACTACTTTACAGTGTCTCTATGTGAATACAGGCACTACTTTACAGTGTCTCTATGTGAATACAGGCACTACTTTACAGTGTCTCTATGTGAATACAGGCACTACTTTACAGTGTCTCTATGTGAATACAGGCACTACTTTACAGTGTATATGTGAATACAGGCACTACTTTACAGTGTCTCTATGTGAATACAGGCACTACTTTACAGTGTCTCTATGTGAATACAGGCACTACTTTACAGTGTCTCTATGTGAATACAGGCACTACTACTGTATGCAGCATTGCAACAGAACATTTACTATAGCTGAATCACAATAGGACTGTATGTAGAGCTATGTCAGTCACAAGGAATAGAACAGTCCTTGACTAACTCCAGGCTTACAGGAAGCAGACCCGGGGGTCAAGGACAAGCCCTACACTGACGCTGTATTCAAACTCTGTATGTAAGACGTGAAATGTGGGCAATATCTATATGTTCATTGTTGCTAATGTAGCCTATCTAGGGATCTTGTGTGTCAAGGGCGAGGGATCTTAAACGCCACAACTCCCTTTCACTGGCAACTTCACAAAATGGCTTGACTTGGTCTTTACCTATGACTAATGTAGTGATGTTTGATCTGGGATTGATTAGAAATGTCTGATCTATCTGGGATTGATTAGCTTTGCACAGCATCATCTACGTCTGTGTTACTTTCTGACCTTAATGATTTAAGTTACTGGTACTGATTTAGTATCGGTACTCACCACTCATGTCCCAACTTTAACCATTCTCTACCTAATATATTTATAATCTGTATATTCTGTAAGGTTGAGCCCCACTGAATGTTACCCTGGTAACGTCTCTTTAAAGATGGAGGATACCTTTATTATGTAACTAAACAGTTACCCAACGGGAGCACATGTACAACCACCTGCTTCCCTCGCTACAATGGCCTCCAGGGGGTTGCTGAGGTGTGTGTGTATACTCATTATGGAGTCATGGTAAACACTGGTGTTGTGAGAGAGGCAGAAAGAAATGGTTCCCTGGCTCAAGTCGCCCCATTGCCAACTAAACGCTTCAAGATGGCAGCAACGAGCGGACTGGCCAGGCTTCGCTGCTAGCTATGTTACGCCATGCTCTGCGCCAGCCCTGGACTCCAGATTTTGACCATGGTCCAGCGGTAATTAGAAAAGGCTCTGGTCATTTGGTGTAGCCTACCTCCCCCAAACTCACCCCCTCTATCCAGCTCTCTCTCTCCTCGCTGCTCCATTTTACAAGCCATTGTGCACCCTCATTATATTGCAGTTGTGTGTGTGTGTGTGTGTGTGTGTGTGTGTCTCTTTCTGGGAAGCATGGAGGATGTCAAGGAAACACGGTGTGGTTATGGGTGGCATGCAAACGGCATCTGTTTTACACTCTGAGAACTGGGTGTCTGCAGCAGTAGAGCCGTCTGTACAAGCCTGGGCTTATTAGCCTGCAGTGCACTGAATTAAAATGATCATACTTGTCAAAAACAATGCTTCACGCATTTCAGACAGTTATCAGATGCCACATACAGAAGGTTTTATTCTGGTTTGGTTTTATTTATGCTTTATAAAGGAAAGTCACATTGAGATTGAAAATCTCTTTTTCAAGTGAGTCCTGCATATGCTTTCCACCAAGGTTATCTTCCCACTGGATATTTACTGTAATAAATCACAGTCCCTACACAAGACTACTATTTTTCTTCCAAGTTCTCCCAATTTCTTTTAAGTCAAAACATTATCTAGGTCAACCAGTCTTTTTTAATCCAAACTTTTTCATCCAATGAACACGCTAGTGGAGCAACCCCCTGGTGTATTCCAACTGCAGACTGTATCGGAGGGCTTTGGTTCTGTGTTTGAGAGGGAGAGCTGGATCTGACAGAGGGTTGCCAAAGCCACAGCAGGGGTGAGTGTGTGTGTGTGTGCGCGCGCACGTGCTTCTGCACAGTGCTATGTGTGTGTGTGTGTGTGTGTGTGTGTGTGTTCTGTGTGCACGCGTACGCCTGAGTGTGTATGTATCTGTGTGTGTGTGTGTGTGGATCGCCCCCCTGCAGCATATTGATGCCATTTCAGTCATCCGGCATCCCGTCCCTGCACAGCAGTGCATGCTGGGATAGTGGAGTGCAAGTACAGACAAACTGACTGATCAAAACGGAGAGGGGGTGACGAAGGGTTGGCTCCAAGTCGACACAGGTTTCAGCCATCACTCCAAGTTCCCTCATCTTACGGGTGTCATAAGATGTGACTTACTCTACAGAGCTATGTTGAGCAGCGACTTGCTGCTAGCAATTCATACTTTTTTCTGTTCAATTGCTGGCATTTGGTATTGTGACCTAAATATCAGCTAATTGTCTGAGTAGCTGTCCTCGGATTAGAGAAATATGGATTGGAGGATATTGCCTTATTATTTCCTGGGAGACAGGACTGAGATGAGCAGGGAGCACTTGTATTGTGCAGTGATCTGTGACAAAGGGAAAGCCTATTATACCACAGAGAGAATGGCAGGTAAGAGATGCTCTCTGACAAATTGATCCTAATGATCAGGTCTGATGGAAGGCAAACTGCACCATATGAATGCAGGGGGAATAACGTCTGGAATGTAATGTCAAGGCTCTAGTTGATCAAAAACACATTCGGTTTTAGTAACCGTAGATAATTGTATCTCTGAAGTTATTTTGAGTCAAGCCACGTCAGGGTATATTTATTCTGCAAGAGATGATGATGGTGGTGATGGTGATGATGATGATGATGTAACATTGGTAAAAGACTAGCGTCAGATTCCTTTTTAAGGGAGTTAAGTTACGGTTCCCATTCTCACTCCCCACTGAAATATGGCATCAAACAGCCTAAAAAGATACCAGCATACGTTTTTACTGTGTAAACAATTACTCCATTAAAATACCATACCACTGGTCCAGTATGGAGGGTATTAGTGACCATCTCATTGGTAAGACTATTTAGGGTGTGGTCCAAGAGACTATTCCATTGCTCCAGTATTCAGGGTGTAGGGGTCTGTGTAGGTGTCCTACCTGACTGTGGCCTGGTGATGGCGCTCTCGTACACAGGGATCCCCTCTCCCACGTTGTTGAAGGCCTTCAGGGTTATCACATAGTGGGAGCTGGGGTCTGAGGGAGGGAGAGGGGGAGAGAGAAGGAGAAGGGGGAGGGAGAGAAGGAGAGACAGGGAGAGGGGCAGGGAGAGAGAGGGAGAGGGGCAGGGAGAGAGAGGGAGAGGGGCAGGGAGAGAGAGGGAGAGGGGCAGGGAGAGAGAGGGAGGGGGAGAGGGGCAGGGAGAGAGAGGGAGGGGGAGAGGGGCAGGGAGAGAGAGGGAGGGGGAGAGGGGCAGGGAGAGAGAGGGAGGGGGAGAGAGAGCGTTATGAAATAATGTAGCTAATCAAGTCCTGACTCCTGAGACTCTCTCCTCATATTTATCATCTTGACAACAGGTGAATATTGAAACCCAGTCTCTCATTGGGATTTTAATGAAAAGCTAAATTATGCAACATTTTCTTGGCCATAATCATAATGGGACCCCCCTATCCAAGTAATAATTACAGTAGGCTATGGGATCCTATGAAGCATAGGTAGCCATGCAATCAAAGACTGTTCACAATCATGCATCAAGAAGATGGTTCCACAACAAAACACAGATGACCAAAACACAACAAACATTAAAATAGTCAAAAACAAACTATGAGGACAACAACAACGAGGCCAACAACAACAACAACGAGGCCAACAACAACAACAACGAGGCCAACAACAACAACAACGAGGCCAACAACAACAACAACGAGGCCAACAACAACAACAACGAGGCCAACAACAACAACAACGAGGCCAACAACAACAACAACAACGAGGCCAACAACAAGAGGGTGTGCTCACCTAGGTTCTCAATGCTGTAGTAGCGCTGCTTGTAGTCCACCTTGATGGTCTGGGCGTGGGGGCTACCGATGCCGTAGCCGATGCTGTAGCCACGCACCACAATGTCCTGGTTCTCCGGCGGCGTCCAGCTCACCACGATGCTGTTGACCAGCGGACGCACATGTAGCGAGCTGGGGATGTCCGGCACTCTGGACTCTGGAGGTAGGAAAACACAGGGGATCAAATGTATATCAAATTATAACAAACAAATTAAACACAATAAAACGCAATGCAACTTGTTTTTAAAGCATCTCCATATACTTAACAATAGAATCAAGACAATAAAATACATTAAAACCAAGCCATAAATGTAAGGTAGCAGTGAGACCACATTAATAGAAGTCTTAAGAGGGTTTGAAGGTATTTATAATGCTGCTAAACCAACCTTGGTTTGTGCAGTAATGGAAAGACATGCCATAAAACAAAACACTTTGGCCCTGAGCAATTCAGACCAGGTGAAAGTAGTAAAGATGAGGGCTGAGGTAGAGGGATTTGACTGGTCAGTGTGTTAAGGCAAGAGAGGAAAGGAGACAAAGTTTTACCGTCCAGGTCGCTCTCGAAGGTCTCTGCCGTGGTCCACTCTGTGGCGGGCCCTGAGCCGTTCACTGTGATGGCTGACACTCTGAACGTGTACTCCGTCCCCCGCTCCAGACCTGACCACAACACCACACAGAAATCAGTCAAGAAGAGTCAGACATTCCTCCCCTTTCTACCCAAAGTGTGCCCTCGTCTTGTTCACGCCCCCCTCAATCCAATGCTTTTAAATCTTTGAGTTGAGTAGTGTGCTCTTTTGAGGGGCAGAGCAAGAAACGGAATTGGGTGTGTGTGCAGAATCAGCCATAGGTTATGCCCATCAGTTTGTGTAGTTAGAAAACTGTCCCCAAACTTTCCTTTCATCCTTCTTAAAGGGTTTACTAACAGTGCATCCCTCACTCCACCACTCAGTTGAGCTGGGCATGTAGACACACTAAATATTTGAAGCCATAATATTTCAAGAGGAAGTCATATATTTCTCTGCTTGAGTGAGGGGAAAATCTATAACTCTGTCAGGGGTGAGATCAAGGGAGAGCTCGTTGTGGCGCAACAAACATTTTCCTCTTCCCAATCCAACGCGTTTGATAGAGATGAACGTTCTGCCCGTGATCACGACGGGTCTGTGGGGGAATTTACACATGAGCAGTTTGAATGTAGCCCAAGCAAGCCGCTACAGAGCTGAGAAGAAAGAAGAAGTACTCTTCACTCCTGGTGGTGCGTGTGGATCTGGATTCCCGCTTGGCCCACCATCCCAGTCACATTGCTGGGTAGGCTATATCACCGCCGGGGGCGTGTTTTGGAAATTCAAAGTCGTGGGAACCGCCCGCTGTCTTTAAAAAACACGTAGCCGCGCTAATTGGCACTAAAATGTTCTTAAGAGTCGGATTGGACGTAGCTGTGTGTACGCTAAATGCTAATCGTGTAGTCTCTCCCTTCATTACTACGGGCTGTCCCTGAGGCAGACTGCTAAAAACCACCAAGCCACTCCAGGCCTCCAAGGCTCTAGAAAGAAAATCTTAAATGCCTTTGAACCAACAAACACCCCCGTTGCACCCCAAATATAATCGTGTTTGACTTTCAAGTGTGTATTCTCTTTGAAGCTGCGCCACACAGCGTGAGACAGGGCCAGAAAAGTTGCTGAGACGACATGTAATATTCATTGCCATCGCTAAGGTCTCTGGTGATATCTATTCGAACTACAGTAACAGCATAATATCAGTTTGGATGTGAGATGAGATGAGTTGTTGAGAACAGGTGACAGTTTGAAGTAACACTGAGACGAACAAGGAAAAATGTGTACAATTCCAAACGACACGCCAGACAAAGGCTCAAATGAGTGAGACACTATCTGGTCCTATGGGACCACAGTATTCAACTTGGAAACTTCCAATTGGCTCCAAAGGTTCAGCTACCATCAGTAGCCACAGAGCCTTTAGGCCTATCTCAAAACAAGACTTGTTTTAGTACATGTACGCGTGCTAATCACGTGATTTCCCATGTAAGATATTGCATGTGCATGACTAATTCAACTCCACAATGACTCATGTGATGAGTAGGTGACCCGGTATTACAGGAGAGCTTACCGTCTATGAGTTGGAAGAGCTGGGTGCCTCCCGTGGTTTCTGCCGCCTCGCTCTTCCTCGTTCCTTTCCGGTAACGGATCTTATACCCCGTGATCTCGCCGTTCTGGGCGCCTGGTGGTGGGGGCTGCCATCGGACCATGATGCTCTGGGGAGGGGGGGGTGGTACGACACACAGTGAGTACTTGGACTGAGCAGACACTGGGGGTTACAGTTTATACTGCTGAACCACAGGAAAATGGTCATATTCACTGAAAACGGACACTTTGCTTTCAATGTGAACTTTGTCCATTCACAAATTCAATTTCAGCTCACTTCCTGAATTGCAATGGACTCGAGCCCAACCCAAGGACAATACTGAATAATCTCTTGCTACTACCATTGACTTTAGAGGTGGAATGACAACCCCAGGACTTTGCAGGTAAGATCACACCAGGGCGATGAGTGGGTGGTTATGGCAATACACACCACTGGTGTCCAGTAACACCACTCGCTGTGACATTGACGTCACAGGGCTAACCTGACCAAGGCTGGTGTAAGGTCAAAAGGCGACATTACACCGGCCTTACAATGCCTTATACCAGTCTTATACCAGCCACACAAAGCCTTACACCAGTCTTATACCAGCCACACAAAGCCTTACACCAGTCTTAAACCAGCCACACAAAGCCTTACACCAGTCTTATACCAGCCACACAAATCCTTACACCAGTCTTAAACCAGCCACACAAAGTCTTATACCAGTCTTAAACAAAGCAGAGTGATGTTAGGAGGGTGATGCAGTGGTGAAGTATGAAAATGTATGCAGTCACTAACTGTAAGTGGCTCTGGATAAGAGAGTCTGCTAAATGTCTAAAATGTAAATGTATATGTGAAGGAGAAGAGAACAGGCTGTCTGTTGGAGAAAGGAGGGAATAAAGACATGAATAATAAATAAAGAGTGGAGGAGAGGAGCCCTGGTGAGAGGAGAGGCTCCCAGCGAGGGAGAGAGAGAGAGAGAGAGCGATGGATTCAGGTCCTTAGCTGCAGGCCCTGCAGTGCACTGTGGGATGTTGTGGAGGGAGGCGAGATACTGTAGAGAGTACGCGTATGTGTGTAGGGATGGGTGTGTGTGTGTGTGTAGGGATGGGTGGGGGGAACTCAGCGTGGGAGAGGAGTTAATTAACGCTACCCACTGTCGCTCACACACGCACAAAAACACACACAGGCACGCAAACATTCACACACACACATCCGTGAGTCCGGGGAATAGCACAAATTAAATCTGTGCTAAGTGTGTTCAATTAGTTTATTTCCATTTTCTTATAGTGCGTTCTGATTTCAGCTATATTCTTTTCCCTCACCCGTTCTCTAAAACACATGTTTAATTGACTCAAGGGAAGGTGAGAAGGCGGATGTTGTCAAGGGGATAAAAGGGGGGGGGGGGGGGGGGGTTTGTGGTTCCCATGTTGAGACTACACTTCCCCTTGTATGTTAGTTTTCACCCCTCAGGCCCGGCTGACTGACACGGCCCACAGGACAGAGCAAATTAAACAATTAAAATGAGAAATCGCATTTTGTGTTTTAATCTAATTAGAAATGTATTTTATAATGATATTCATAATGTATTCATCCATATCAGGCCATTCATTACTGGGTATCAAACAGTGACATACAGCACAAGTCTGAGAAAGGAAGAACAAAGCAAAACCTGCTCTGATTGGCCAGTAAATAGAACAAATATAATGTCCCAAATCAGTTCTAGATGCAAGTCAGACTGAATCCATTTCTAAATACACCCCCCATCTCTATACAGGTACTAAATACTCCCCCCATCTCTATACTGGTACTAAATACACCCCCCATCTCTATACTGGTACTAAATACACCCCCCATCTCTATACTGGTACTAAATACTCCCCCCATCTCTATACTGGTACTAAATACTCCCCCCATCTCTATACAGGTACTAAATACACCCCCATCTCTATACAGGTACTAAATACTCCCCCCATCTCTATACGGTACTAAATAACCCCCCATCTCTATACAGGTACTAAATACACCCCCCATCTCTATACAGGTACTAAATACACCCCCCATCTCTATACAGGTACTAAATACACCCCCCATCTCTATACTGGTACTAAATACCCCCCATCTCTATACTGGTACTAAATATCCCCCCATCTCTATACTGGTACTAAATACACCCCCATCTCTATACTGGTACTAAATACACCCCCATCTCTATACTGGTACTAAATACACCCCCCATCTCTATACTGGTACTAAATACACCCCCCATCTCTATACTGGTACTAAATACACCCCCATCTCTATACTGGTACTAAATACACCCCCCATCTCTATACAGGTACTAAATACACCCCCCATCTCTATCCTGGTACTAAATACACCCCCCATCTCTATACGGGTACTAAATACACCCCCCATCTCTATACTGGTACTAAATACACCCCCCATCTCTATACTGGTACTAAATACACCCCCCATCTCTATACTGGTACTCCAACCGCTTACAGGGTTCAAGAACAATGCTAGCAGTCTGGGTATGAGCTGAGCCCACTGACAAGAGCTAATGTCATGTAAAACAGGGTTAGGCGTGCACGTGTCTGTGTGTGTCTGTGTGTGTGTGTGTGTGTGCTTGTCTGTCTGTGTGTGTGTCTGTGTGTGTGCGTACGGACGCGAAAGAGAAGTGTCTGACTAGCTCTTACCTTTGAGTCGTGAACTTCCACAGTGAGGTTTTGAGGAGGGGCACTGGGAACTGTAGGGGTAAAAAACAAGGTGTTTTACTCTCTACAACTCAAGAGAGATCACCTCAACACACCGGGTCTGGAGCCACTGTACCAACAATGACCTTTAACCTCTTCCAAAGGAGACTGCCTGTTGTGATCTACCCATTTCTCCTCTGGGAGTGGAAGAGTTCCTCTCCTTAATCTGTCCCCTGCTTACCATCAGACAGGGTGGTGACGGTGACGTCTCCTGTGGACACTCCTGGGCCGTGCTTGTTGAAGGCCACCACTCTGATGCTGTACTCTGTGAACTTCTTCAGACCCATCATGGAGTAGGACAGAGCTCCAGCGTCTATGTCCTGAGAGGTTGAGAGGAGAGGTGGTACGTACAAAGTTAAGTAGTGCTTCTGTAGATTTAATTTTATTACATTATTTACTTTTCCTTGTTTTGTTCTACTACTACTACCACTACTACCCCCCCTCAGACGACCACCATCACCACTAACTAGCCCACCACCCCACTTCTACTACCACCCATCCCCACCACTCTACTCCCCGACCACTACTATCACCATCCACTACTGACCGATACTACTACTAACTACTATCCACCATCCCACCACCCACCACTACCCATCTACCACTACCACTACACTACCCACTACTACTCACCATCACTACTACCACCCATCCACCACCACTACACCACTACTACTACAACCACACCACTACACCACCATACTACTAACCCACACTACCTACTACTACCACCACCTACTACTACATACCACCACAACCCACCACTACTACTACTCCACCACCACTACTACTACCCCCCACTACACTACTACACCCAACTACTACTACATACTACTCACACTACCCACCCACTACCTACTACATACCACCACCACCACACACCACTCATCTACTACCACTACTACTACCCCTACCACTATCCTACTACTACTACCACTACTATACCTCACTACTACTGACTACTATCCTACCACTACTATCGCTACTACTACCTATCCCACACTACTACACCCACTACTACGCACTACTACTCCTACTACTACTACTACCACTACCACCTACACTACTACTCGCTACTACTCTATACTATACCGCTGCTGCTGCTACTACTACCACTGCTACTACTACTACCGGTGCTACTGCTACTACCACCACACTGCTACTGCTACTACCGCTGCTACTACTACTACTACTACTACTACTACTACTATTACTACTGCTATTATCGCTGCTACTGCCACACACACATACCCACATATAAACACCCCCGCACCCGCACAATCCCACCATATCTAAAAATAAGCCAATTTTCACTCAGCCCTTTTGTATACTGACACTAACCAGGCTTCCATCAACCTTTTTATACAGTAAAGTACACGTCGGATAAAACATGTCACAACAGCCTGATGGAAACAGCTCATTTGTTGGTAAACTTTCCAAATGTCGATAAAACAAAATACGCTAGACAAGGTGTGATCTTTTTGTGTCGGTAAAATTAATCCTGCGAGAAATGCCGGTGGAAATGCCTTTAATGCGCAAATATTGATATAATAGCAATTATATGACGTGGAGAGGATCTGTGTCTGCACTACGTACTCTCACTACTGGTGTCCCCCAGGGCTCGGTTCTAGGCCCTCTCCTCTTCTCTCTATACACCAAGTCACTCGGCTCAGTCATTTCCTCACATGGTCTCTCCCATCATCGATATGCAGATGACACTCAACTACTTTTGTGCTTCCTCCTTTCTGACACCCACGTGGCGACACGCATCTCTGCATGCCTGGCAGATATCTCAGCTTGGATGTCGGCCCACCACCTCAAGCTCAACAAGACGGAGCTGCTCTTCCTCCCGGGGAAGGCCTGCCTGCTCCAAGACCTATCGTTCACGGTTGACAACTCCACGGTGTCCCCCTCCCAGAGTGCAAAGAACCTTGGTGTGACCCTGGAAAACACCCTGTTGTTCTTTGCAAACATCAAAACAGTGACTCGCTCCTGCAGGCTCATGCTCTACAACTTTCGTAGAGTATTACCTTTCCTCACAAAGGAAGCGGCGCCGGTCCTAATCCAGGCACTTGTCAACTCCCATCTGGACTACTGCAACTCGCTGTCGGCTGGGCTCCCCGCTTGTGCCATCAAACCCCTGCAATTTATCCATAACGCTGCAGCCCGCCTGGTGTTCAACCTTCCCAAGTTCTCCCATGTCACCCTGCTACTCCGCACACTCCACTGGCTTCCAGTCGAAGCTCGCATCCACTACAAGACCATGGTATTTGCCTACGGAACACCAAGAGGAACTGCCCCTCCCTACCTTCAGGCTATGCTCGAACCCTACACCCCAACCAGAGTACGCAGTTCTGCCACCTCTGGTCTCTTGGCCGTCCCACCCCTACGGGAAGGCAGCTCCCGCTCAGCCCAGTCTAAGCTCTTGGCACCCCAATGGTGGAACCAGCTTCCCCCTGAAGCTAGGACAGCAGTCCCTGCCCATCTTCCCAAAACATCTGAAGCCCTACCTCTTCAAAGAGTATCTTAAATAATCTTACAGCAACCCCCCCCCCCCCCCCCCCTTCCCCACACACAAAATAATGAAAAAAAACGTTTGTGAACTCACTCGCACTTGACTCTTTCCTCCTTACTAGCTCTGACTCTGCTGATAACTACTTGAAGAAAAATGACTGACTGTGATATGTGCTAGTCCCACCTAGCTATCTTAAGAAGCACTAACTGTATGTCACTCAGGGTAAGAGCGTCTGCTAAATGTCTCAAAAGTGAAAATATCACGTCCATTTGGGGACCGCCCTAATCTTCGTCCCTGGGTAGTAAAACCACAGTGTCTAATTGTTCCACTGAAGTCCGGCGCGCCAGTGTGACAGCTTCCTCCCTGTAGACGAGCTACTTCCTGAATCCTTCCCCATCCCCGCCTCAATAATTAATCCACTCCAACACCCTGTTAGCTACCCTGTTCTCTGGATTCAACCTTTGTTCCCCTCTTTTCAGATAAAGACAGAGTCAGATCAGCCTATTCTCTTCCTGTCAGCCTCTCTCTTTCTCTCTCTCCTCTAGGGAACGAGGGATAGTGGCAGCAACAGCATCATTACTCGTTGTGCTGGCTGACATTTCATCCATTATCATATTAAAGGCTCTTTAACGCCTGGCTGGTGGGGCTGGCAGGGCTGGATGACTCAGTAGGCTGTGCTGCGGTGCGCTGCACTGTGGCCTGCTGGGAGACTGGGGAATAGGGAGGGTGGTGCAGGCAGCTTTCTGATAGAGTGGGAGTAGAGCAGAGGCTTTGGAGCTTCGGGGAACAGAAGTTTCAAGGCAGTCTACTGGGCTGTTACAGAGCTGGGACACTTCAATGGGCTATATGGTGCTGATTTATCGCTAATGCTAGGCTGGAAAAAGCAACAGTTAATTTCGCTGTTCTCTTTTGAAGTCTTGTTGTTATACCATCACAAGACTAATCCCTCTCAGAGTATGATGTATCACTAATTCAACATATAGGGGCATCTAACTCCCCCATCTCCCCCACCCATCACACTGGGTCTTACCTGTTCCAGGTCCAGACCCTTCTCCATGTAGTAGACCTTGTAGGTGAGGACGTCTCCGTTGCCAGTGAGGGGCGTGTCCCAGCTGAGGGTGATGGAGGTGGGTGTGGTCGACACGGCCTGCAGGTTGGGGGCGGGACCGGGAACTTGCACTGGAAACACCAAAAGGAGACAGCGGACACTTATTATGAACTTAGTATGAATCCCAAAATAAAGACAAAGGAAGGCATTTTCCCCCAAATCTCAATATTTGTATTTTTTTCAAATGTAAACCATATCATTGCACAAAACCACACTCTCACTTAATCACTTGGAGTCCATTCGGTCCCAATTTGACACAGACTGCCATTTTGGAATGTCCCCCTGTTTTTTCTGTAACCGAAAAGCCTGACACACATGCTGTGGTCATTCCCCCACTACACAACACCACATTATCCCACCAATCCCTCTAGCATGGCATTCTAGTGGGAGAAAGGAGGGAGCGGGGACAGACACGGTCATGCTTGGTTTACAGAGGAATTTATTTGAAGTATTAAGTTAATTGGAATTGGTTAGCCGAGAGAGCGGCTGGGACTAAACCAAGCGATTGAAGAGGGAGGGGGGTGTTTCCATTGTTGTTTGCTCTGCAGGTTCATTACATTCAATTAACAGCTCTGGTGGCGGCCGGCGCTGAGGTAGCAGGTGCTGAGAGCCACACATCTACTGGGGGATGTTAGGCTCTAGAGGGATAACGATTGGGTCTGGGAAACTTAGCTGTGTGGCAAATGTAACGCGTCATTAACCATACCTAGTCCTCACGAGGGACAACACAGACACACAGACACTAGGAACCTATAGCAGTGTCTTAACAAACAGACCATGTTGATTCTGTATGTACTACAAACTACGCCCTTGTCCATCAAACATGGGAAATACTTGAGACCCCAGTTTCACTGACAAATACCCCAATTTTTCTCTAAGGGAAAGGAACATTTCTCTTCGCTGTGTGTTAGCTGCAGATGTGCCCGGCAGAACATGGAGGCTCTCATTTGTCAGTAGATATAGAAGGTGTCTGGTGTGTGTAAGCCCCTCTCTCTGAGGAAAAGCGATATACAGTGAGGGATGCGGTGTGGTTGGTCCAGGTCTGGTACTTGGAATCAGGTCAACAATTTAAACCCTCATTTATAACCTAGAAGAGGCGCTGTCAGACAGACAGAGAAATATGTCCCTGGCACTGGCTGACCCCTTTGCTATCCCCATGGGTAGTTAGGCTCCCGCTGGCACACATTATGGAAAGCCAGGTGCCAAGGACACAGGTAGAGAGGCAGAGACTGACCCAGAAACTGGGCAATAGCTGAGCCGTGATGGAGGGAGAGAGAAGGGGAGATGAATAGGCTGAGCCGTGATGGAGGGAGAGAGGAGGAGAGATGAATAGGCTGAGCCGTGATGGAGGGAGAGAGAAGGAGAGATGAATAGGCTGAGCCGTGATGGAGGGAGAGAGAAGGAGAGATGAATAGGCTGAGCCGTGATGGAGGGAGAGAGGAGGAGAGATGAATAGGCTGAGCCGTGATGGAGGGAGAGAGGAGGAGAGATGAATAGGCTGAGCCGTGATGGAGGGAGAGAGGAGAGATGAATAGGCTGAGCCGTGATGGAGGGAGAGAGGAGAGATGAATAGGCTGAGCCGTGATGGAGGGAGAGAGAGGAGAGATGAATAGGCTGAGCCGTGATGGAGGGAGAGAGAGGAGAGATGAATAGGCTGAGCCGTGATGGAGGGAGAGAGAGGAGAGATGAATAGGCTGAGCCGTGATGGAGGGAGAGAGGAGAGATGAATAGGCTGAGCCGTGATGGAGGGAGAGAGGAGAGATGAATAGGCTGAGCCGTGATGGAGGGAGAGAGAGGAGAGATGAATAGGAGGGCGTTCACCTCTCCTCTGCCATGGAGGGGGAAGCCCTTATCATGTCTACTGTAGAGCTGTGAGGGGAAAATGCTCCAGTCACAACATCCTTATGAGGCCTGGTATACACTGTGAATGGATACACTGTGAATGGATACACTGTCAAAGTATACACTGTGAATGTATACACTGTGAATGGATACACCGTCAAAGTATACACTGTGAATGGATACACTGTGAATGGATACACTGTCAAAGTATACACTGTGAATGTATACACTGTCAAAGTATACACTGTGAATGTATACACTGTGAATGGATACACCGTCAAAGTATACACTGTCAAAGTATACACTGTGAATGGATACACTGTCAAAGTATACACTGTGAATGGATACACTGTCAAAGTATACACTGTGAATGGATACACTGTCAAAGTATACACTGTGAATGGACACACTGTCAAAGTGGGACGGAGGAGGTATTACGGATTGGAGAACTTGAGGGGAAGGAGGAAGAATTTTAATTCCACCTGCCCACCATACCCCGTCGCACACACACACACCCTTCTTCGTCAGCTAAGTATGGGAGGCCATGTTTGAACACACACCTACCTCTCTCTCTCTCACACACACACCCCCAGGTAAGTAAATGGAAGGAAATGAACAACAACCACAGAGGATGTTTTCCACAGCCCAGAGAGGAGAGGACAGTAGCCCTCTGAGCTACAGTGGGGTGGTCTGGGTTCATGTTTATGTTTGTTTGTTAGAGTATACAGTATGTTTGCCTGTGTATCTGTGTCTGTGCTTTACCTTCAGCCTGGGTGGCCACCTTGAGGACGGCAGAGCTCTCTCCCAGGCCGTTCTTGTTGTGTGCCAACACCCGGAACTTGTACTTGGAGTCGGGCATCAGGTTCTGAATGGTCACCTGCATCTCACCTGGCCGACTGGTGTTCTCAATACGCTCCCTGAGACACAGACACACAACAGCACAGTTAGTGTTCACTATCGACAGCACAGTTAGTGTTCACTATCGACAGCACAGTTAGTGTTCACTATCGACAGCACAGTTAGTGTTCACTATCGACAGCACAGTTAGTGTTCACTATCGACAGCACAGTTAGTGTTCACTATCGACAGCACAGTTAGTGTTCACTATCGACAGCACAGTTAGTGTTCACTATCGACAGCACAGTTAGTGTTCACTATCGACAGCACAGTTAGTGTTCACTATCGACAGCACAGTTAGTGTTCACTATCGACAGCACAGTTAGTGTTCACTATCGACAGAAGTGTGAATGGGCCCTCAGAGTAGTGTGTATGTTATAAGGGCCCTCAGAGTAGTATGTTATAGGGGCCCTCAGAGTAGTGTGTATGTTATAGGGGCCCTCAGAGTAGTATGTTATAGGAGCCCTCAGAGTAGTGTGTATGTTATAGGGCCCTCAGAGTAGTGTGTATGTTATAGGGGCCCTCAGAGTAGTGTGTATGTTTATAGGGGCCCTCAGAGTAGTGTGTATGTTATAGGGGCCCTCAGAGTAGTGTGTATGTTATAGGGGCCCTCAGAGTAGTCTGTATGTTATAGGGGCCCTCTGAGTAGTGTGTATGTTATAGGGGCCCTCAGAGTAGTGTGTATGTTATAGGGGCCCTCAGAGTAGTGTGTATGTTATAGGGCCCTCAGAGTAGTGTGTATGTTATAGGGGCCCTCAGAGTAGTGTGTATGTTATAGGGGCCCTCAGAGTAGTGTGTATGTTATAGGGGCCCTCAGAGTAGTGTGTATGTTATAATACACTGAGTAGTGTGTATGCTATAATACACTGAGTAGTGTGTATGTTATAGTGGCCCTCAGAGTAGTGTGTATGTTATAGGGGCCCTCAGAGTAGTGTGTATGTTATAATACACTGAGTAGTGTGTATGCTATAATACACTGAGTAGTGTGTATGCTATAATACACTGAGTAGTGTGTATGTTATAGGGGCCCTCAGAGTAGTGTGTATGTTATAATACACTGAGTAGTGTGTATGTTATAGGGGCCCTCAGAGTAGTGTGTATGTTATAGGGGCCCTCAGAGTAGTGTGTATGTTATAATACACTGAGTAGTGTGTATGCTATAATACACTGAGTAGTGTGTATGCTATAATACACTGAGTAGTGTGTATGTTATAATACACTGAGTAGTGTGTATGCTATAATACACTGAGTAGTGTGTAATACTGTACTGTGTAGGGTCCCTACCTGTTGGTTCCCTCCTGGTTGTAGTAGACAGAGTAGATGAGGTCTTCTCCGTGGGGCTCGGCCGGAGGGCGCCAGGTGAGCTTGATGAAACGGGTGGAGACCAGCGAGGCCACGACGTCACGGGGGGCGGAGGGGGTGGGGCCAGTGGGGTTAGCCACGCCTCCGGAGCCTGGCGTTACATGGTCAGTAGTGTCAGGAGTCAGTGAGGGAGGAGGGGTGGGGAGGGCTACATCTTTGGGAGGGCAGGGGGGGAGGGGAGATGAGCGGGGGGGAGGTGGATGGAAGCGTGAAGGCAGGTGAAGAAGACAGAGAGAGAGGAGGAGAGAGAGACGGACAGATGGCGGGCATCCAAAAGGAAGAGAGAGGAAGAGAGAAAGGAAAGCGAAAACAAAGGAGAACAAAAAAGAAAACAGAAGAAAAACACAAAATAACAACCACGTAACAAAAAGAGAGCTCTGGGCATGACAAGGAATCACACAACAACACTAATACCACGCTGGAATAATCACAACGAAACACAACAATAACACAATACAAAAGGAGGGAGACTAAACATGCACAACATACACAACATCTCTAATGGAAGGGGAGGGGAGTAACAGCACTAAATAAACACCATTGAATGGTATATGAACACATATGCAAAATACAGTCTACACTGTGTACATACTCCACATAGCAAAGGGAGACTTTAAAAGCTCCACACCAACTGTCACTAAGGTAGAGGCCATTCACATTCACAAACCCACCATATAATGTTTTAATGCACTTTTCCTGGCGGAATTCACACAGTCTACCCACAGCACTGAGAAAAACGTCATTTGGTGTTTTCGCAGAACAATCTATGGTTAGACATGGGTATATCTGCTTTGATTTTTCTACCAGCCAACTCACACAACACAGGGAAAGAATGTCAGAGAGACTGTGGCATTTACATTGGTAATCTAGTCCGAGGGCAATGCCAAAATGTAAGGAAACTGAGCATATGGTATATATATACTACTAGAAATATAGCTCTATATGCAAATGTATGCTGGCCACAGTACATCTATCCATCATGACATACTGAGATGCTGCTTATTTGGGGAGACTAGAGTATCTGTTTATATGACAGATTCCAGCGGAGCCATGACCTTGGATCTTGAACAGATTGGTGTGGGATTTGCTGCATATTACACATATACGTGCACTCACACACACACACACACACACACACACACACACACACTGGGAATTGATTCCCCTGTCTATTGGAGTAAAAGGAAGATAACCAATAAGTGTCATTCTACAGAGTTAAACATATTTTCCTTGGGCACTGAGAGAAAATTATTCTCACCTCCCATAACAAAAAATACACACCAATTTAAATGTAAACAATCTAATTATCATCAAAATATTCAAATCACAGAAACATTCAACAACTGGGAATACTTGGGCCCTATCTCTCTCCATAAACAGAAGCCTATTTTAGAAAGAGGGCCTGAGGAGGATGTACTTCCATCTGATTCATAACTGTAGGAAATGCATTAAGTCCGGTCCATTTCACTACAGCTTCTCTGTAATGACACGAGCCATTAGACGGAATGCAGATGAGGCATCAGTCAGAGAAATTACTGACTAGTACACAGAGTGGGCTGTCTGTCTGTCAGTGTGACGAGGCTGCTGCCGGGAAAGGATTGGGAACTGTTTCCTTGACATATCTGTCAATCGTGTGGCTTTCAGAGGTCATATCCTCATATCATAAACAGTCCTGACTTGTATATGACAGTTTGTGTGTGTGTACATCCATTTGGCCATAGGTGTGTGTGTGTGTGGCTGTATAGGTGTATGTGTACGTAGGATGCTCTCTGTCAGAGTCAGCCTCTCCGTTTTTAGGCTTGGGCGGTATACCGTATATACACCGTATACCGGGGTATTTGGAAAAAGCCATGGGATGGTTTTTCAATACTGTTGAAACTATTTCTTTGAAGTTTGTTTTAATAAATGTGAATATTTGTAGCTACTTTTTAAGTAAATACCTGCAGTCAACTTGTGCAATACATTAGGACATAAAGATTGCATTCTTCATTTCACCTGTCACATAATTTTTAATTATGAAGCTTACACGTGGTGTTTGTTTACAAGCAAACTACGACAAGAGACTGGAGCCTTGTGAGTCACTCACTGTTGTGCAGCATGTGCCAGGTGATCTAATTACATTATGGAATTCACAACTAAATGTTTGCCAGCTAGATATCTTATAACTATTAAGTTAAATGTCTAAAATGTGCTAAATGCTCTGCAGTTGTGCATTTGGTTTGCTAATTTAGTAGCTAGTTATCTGGCTAAGTAGTTAGCGTCTTCCAAAATCAAGCATTCCAGGGTAACTGCAAAGAATCCCCTCTTGGATCAAGAGCGTTGCTGGCTAATATTTGTTTTGTGTGTGCAGCAAGTTGTGAGTAGCATTTTTGAGTTAGTTGTGTAGTTGTGCATATTAGTTTAGGTCAGACTGTATAAAATGTTCACAATGCGCTCGTTAGCATTTAGTTAACATTCTCTATGGGATTTTATATGTACTTTTTAGCATTGCTAACCTTCAGATTACAGAGTATCAGTGGGGTTTTAAAACAGTGCCCCTTGTGTTCAGTGCCGGCATGACAGAATATCCCGGTTTGGCACAAGGTCGGTATGAAGGTATGACAATCTGGATACCGCCCAAGCCTACTGTTTGGCCGGGGCTTGCTCTGGCGGCTTGCCCACCTCCACTCCCCTCGGTCCTCTTGGCTTTAAGGCTCAGCTGGAGGATTACCATTCTGTTGGAGACAGAACCCGGAGCAAATTGCCGGGGAAGGAATAAGGAATAAAGGGAAAGAAAAAGGGGGAAGAAAGATGGCAGTCAACCGGGCGGAGAGACTCCTGAGCTGCCAAGCGAGGCACTGGCATGGGGCCACGTGCTAAGGACCACTATGCCCAAGTTGGCACCGGCCATACAGTGAGTAGATGAAAACCATAATGATAGTCTCAGTGGTACTATAGAGAACAGGACATGTCTCAGTCTCCTTTGTCACAATCAGTCTTCCATCTATTCTCAGACGTGGACAGTTACAGTAAGGCAGAACTAGAGTAGAATCCTAGATTCCTACTGGACCTGTTCTGATGGTCTATTTCTAGTAGATGAACTGTGTCATTAGGGCGTGTGACACTGGTAATGAATGGCTGGCATTAGGAGCTAATGAGGAAAGTTATCCTCTACCTCAACTAGGTATCTGGGTACTGTGTATAAGAAATAGTGAGACAAAGAGATTCAAAGCAAACTGTTAATAATTGAAGAATCTTATTTGTTGTTGTTGTTGTTGTAGTATTTTACCCCTTTTTACTCCCCAAACGGGCTCGGGAGGCGAAGGTCGAGTCATGCGTCCTCCGAAACATGCCAAACCGCGCTTCTTAACCCCCTGCCCGCTTAACCCGGAAGCCAGCCGCACCAATGTGTCGGAGGAAACACCGTTCAACTGACGACCGAGGTCAGCCTGCAGGCGCCCGGCCCACCACAAGGAGTCACTAGAGCGCGATGAGCCAAGTAAAGCCAACCCGGCCAAATCCTCCCCTAACCCAGACGATGCTGGGCCAATTGTGCGCCGCCCTATGGGACTCCTGATCACGGCCGGTTGTGATACAGCCTGGGATCGAACCCAGGTCTGTAGTGACGCCTCTAGCACTGCGCTGCAGTGCCTTAGACTGCTGCGCCACTCGGGAGGCCCATAATGGAAGAATCATAATAATGGACAATGAAACATACTGTACTTTCCAGGGCAACTAAATGATCTCAGTGGAGCTCTTCAGGACAAATAATTCCAGTACCTTTTCATGTTGGATTACAAGGGAAGTAACTGGTGCCTAAGCTTCTAGTAATGTCAATACAAGTTGTACAATACGTCAATTTTGTGGGCATATGAAAACATAACTGGCAAAAATGAGCTGCCACTTTGTCTGCCGGGTAGAAGTGTAGAAGAAAAGTCGGCCATGGGTATTAAAATGTTAAGTCCTGTCTCGGCACACGTACACCCACAGGACACTTAGCTCATTGGCAGGCTGCTGGGCTTTCAAACATCTCATTTGCTGCTATATACAAAGAGAGCACGGTTATTTAGGATTCAGGTCAACAATGACGTCACCAGGCAGCGTTCAAAGTCGCTACTATGTGACTTGGAGAGCGAGAGGTCTTGCCAAGTGTTGCATAATGGTATAATTAGTCTCAGAAGTGAAGGGAACAGTCTCTGCTTCTGTCTGTGGGTTGGGTCACGTAATGTAGCTGAACAGAGCCACACGGATACACTATTGGCTTATTACAGAATGACAGCTTTTATCTACGGGAAGAAAGGAGGGAGGCAAGAAAGAGGGACGGAAAGAGGGAAGAGAGACGGTTATGCTCCTTAGCGGAAGAGAAGAGGATGAGATACGGCACATGAAAAGGAGAGAGCTGATATAAGATGTTTAGAAAATACTGAGATCTAAAATATTTAAAGGAAATGTCTAGATTCCTTTTTTGGCAGAATATCATGGTCAGTTAAGCTGCTAAATGAACACATCCAAGCTTTCATAGAACTTGAACAAGAACATGTGTGATGGCAGAAAGACAGTTCTCGACTGATTCGTGATGCTTCCTCCGAGGAGATGTTCTGAAACGGCGTTTGTGGGGGGTTCTGATCAAGCGAGAACGATCGTGGTGTGGTCGTATCCAATTGGTTGCTGCTGAGAGCAAAGCGAAGAAATTCAGTCATTTATTTTTTCCAGAGGCCATGTTCTCTCTCTAGTCACCAGCCAATAACATCAGAGGAAAGAGAATTCTGACAGCTCATGACATTTGGAGAGGCTCTTGATGTGTCGACAAAAGATACAAACTCGGGTAAGAGAGATACAAATGTTTTGAAGGAAGACTAAAAACCAAGTAGAGAATGAGAAAGAGATGGAGAGGCAGATCAAACACATCCGTCATCGTTTGTTCTTTATCTCCCGGTCCCTTGCTTCCTCTTGTTCGTCAGTTGGCCAAGCGTTGGACCTCTGCAAGGGGAGGATGCTGTTCCCCCGCTCTCCACTTGGGGACCGTCTCTGCCGTTGGCCTTTGAGGACTACGCGTTTCTGTTTCTGACACCTTGTCATGTGGTGAGAGAAGTCGTGAGGACAGTAGAGGCATCTGATTTCTTATAAAGTCTATAAGGTTTACAGAATGCCCACTACCCCAAGGCACAAAAACACAGATCAGTAACTTGATACACTGAGAAGGTGGCATTAAAGCTGGTTTTCAGTGAGGCTCGCGCCACAGAGAAAGACCCAAAGTAGTCCACTGTAGAGCAAAAGTTAGAGAAGAGTTCATGGGTTCTGGGTGATTTGGAACTGTCCGCATGAGTTCTCTGCATCTCCATATTCATTTCTTACACTCCCTGCCCCATTTCAACAGTTTTTGCAGCAAATTGGAAACCGGAGATCTAAAACCTGGCATATTCTTTGTGAGAAAAACAGGCACTTTTAAGAGGGAGTTATAAAAGAACATCAAGGAATAATTTTTTATGGAGTACAGATAAGGAAAGTATTTTCTGGAACAGCTCATTGTAAGGGAACCCAAGGTCAAGTGAAGGTGTTGGGAACTTGAAGGGTTTATTTTGCTGTGGTATGGTGGTTTAACATCAAGTATAAAACCTACTGCTACCAACAGTGCTGCCAGCTCACACGCTCACTCAACTCATTGGAGAAGACAAAAAAAAGAGAGCAAAGTCAAATTAAAAGGCATCAGAGGCGTGCGGAACATGAAACGTTTGGGATCGGTCTGGGATTTAGTTTTTTTGGGGGGGAAGGAGGAAGCTGGGGGCGTTATGGCCTCCTTTCTGCCTGAGGACCCTCTGGCTGGTGAGATAAAGGGATGGAGCTGCAGGAGGACAACACAACTCAAGGGGACTGGGGGGGGGGGGGGGGGGAGTTCTGGTGGAGAGGGTGGTTGGAGGGTGGTCACAGCATGACAGAGCAGGATTAGGGTTTAGGGTTTAGGGATCCCCCCTAGTGTTCCAGGCATCAGGGGATATGATGGGAGTGAGTGTATTGAGACTCATCTGGTGAGGGTCTAACCTCCCTCCTTGTCCCTCAACTCCTACACGCCCCGCTAGGGCTAAAGCAGGCCCTCTGGGGTCATGGAGCAGTCAGTCTTACTCCTTTTGCCCCCCCCCCCCCTCCCTCGTCCGTCCGTCTGTCCATCCCCCCCCATCTCCTCCATCCACCTACTAAATCTCCGCCCCTTTAAAGTCCTTCCCTCTATCTGTGGAGCCGGAGCGTCTGTATGCTAGTCTCCCTTCACAAGACTGTACACGTTTATTCA